CATCAAGAGGTGCAAGATCCACAGATTTAATGCGACAAATAATAAGACAAAAAAAAAAAAAAGCGAAACAGGAAGACAGAATTGGATATGTTGGGCAAGCTTCTTATATATTATGCCTCTGGTTAAATTATGAGGTGTTTATCAAGCTGTATAATCCCTATATTATTCCATTTTTCAGTCTTCCTTGCTAGAATAATTGATGTATGCTTTGCAATATTGGTTGTATATTGTTACATTTTGACCAATAAAGTAATAGATTTTAAGATATAAAACTTGATCAACTTTTATTTTACAATCCACTGAAATACCAACAGGGTCAGGAGCTTTCTCTGATTTCATAGATGAAACAGTAGTATCAGTTTCTTGAATTAAAAAAATATTATGGTCCTGACGTAACTAGTAATCTCATGTTCTATATTTTTGAATCATCTATATCCTTTGTAGATGATTTAGAAACTATGGTTTAGAATAAAGATTTAAAATGTTTTTGATAGGTTCGAAGATTGCATACTTAGTCCTGTATAAACTGCACTAGGGCAAAGTTCTAAAAAGTCTTTTTTGGAAATAACATTTATTAAATTTGTGTTTAGGAGGTACCAAAATTCTGTATCACTCAGCAGCTGGATGGGAGATATACAGAATTCAATTCTTAAAAGAGAAAATAAAAAAGAAATAAAACTCAAGCTAATAGTTGTTTCTTTTTATAAGAAGGATGTGCAATAATTTAACCTCAAGAGAATGCTTTGGCAGTGTCTTGTCTTTAATGTAAAACCAAAGTTTGGCATAACAGACACTATTACTAAGAGAAGAACCCACCATCTCCAATTACAGTTGCATAATAAAATCTTTATAATAATGTATAGTTTTCCCTAGGTAATTCCTTATTGGATATTAACATCATTCTTATCCAAATTAGGGGGGAAATACGATATGGTGCTTTTTACTAGAATCTTATAGGAATCTGCAGGGTAGAATAACCTATATGAAAATAAAAGTGAGATCCTTGCAACTGGTTATTTTCTTCCCAGTTGTACTTGAAACTTGGAGACAGTAAATGAAAGGCAGGAACTACAGGTAGTCCTTGTTTAATCACTACCTCATACAATAATCACTTGCAGTTATAATATTGATGAAAAAGTAACTTTGCGACTAAATCTTGCATTTATGACCTTTGTACGTTTGTAAAGCAAAGGAAAGCTGAAGTCAGAGTCCTCAGTCTTTTTTTTGCCATGGTTGTTAAGTGAATCACTACAGCGGTTAAGTGAATTTGGCTTCTCCTTCTTGACTTTGCTTGCCAGAAGTCATCTGAGAAGGTCACAAATGATGCTCACAAGACTCTGGTATTCTGCAACTATCGTAAATACATGCTGGCTGCCCAGCACCCAGATTTTAGTAAGTGGTTTAGTAACCACTTCATTTAACAATGGAGTAGTTGATTCCAATTATAGTTGCTAAATGAGGCCTACTTGTAAAATCTGGCTATGGATTGATTCTTTTAGGTCATTTCATACAATAGTTTACAAGCTATGGGAAACCATATTAGAACCATGTTAAATACTGCAGGTTTTTAGAACATGGGAGTACATCTAGCACATTATAGTAGGCATATGTAAGTAGTCCTTGACAGTTTCTAAACAAAGTTTGAAATTATAATAAGTTATAATGAGGACCCAGATTATGGGGGCAATAAGATGACTTTGTATAAATATACAAAAGTATAAAGGCTATTGCTTAATGCATTGTAAGCTGCCCTGAATCTCCGGAGAAGGGCGGCATATAAATCAAATTAAAAAAAAAAAAACAGCATTGGAAAAAAGTTATTTATGATTGGTCCTTGCACTTGCAACCATCACAATTTTTCCATGGTCATATGATCAAAATCTGGGTGGCGGGCAATGATTTACGATAGTTGCAGGATACCAGAGTCTTGTAATTGTCATTTGTGATCTCCTCAGCTGGCTTCTGACAAGTAAAGTCAAGGGGAGAAGTCAAATGTACTTAACAGCTGGAGTGATTCACTTAACAACCATGGGAAAAAAAAAGATTGTAAAATTGGGTGCAACTCACTTAAAATTGCTTTACTTGGCAACAGAAATTCTGGTCCAGGTGTGCTTGTAAGTGGAGAACTATTTGTAACTTAATTTTATTTGTTTATTTAGTATATGGCATTGTTACATTAGTCACAAGACTACAATGCTAATGCAGAATAGTAGCTTGGCTGCCTGTTTACCATCTGTTAGGTACATGTGCACCACAAGAGCACGAGCTAGCTTTGGATCAGAAAGAAAGATTACCAGCTTTTCCTGCAGCGTCATCCAAAGGCTTCTCCCACCATTGAAGCCGCCTCTCAAATGGGCATTCCAACTGGAAAAGTGCCAGCCGGATTCTAACTACCACATGAAGCCCTGGCTCACCTTCCCACCAAAGTGGCACCTATTTATCTACTCACACAGAACATGCTTTCGAACTGCTAGGTGGGCAGAAACTGAGGTGAGTGATGGGAACTCACCCTGCCACATAGTGTTAGCGCTCGAACCACTGCAGCAGAGACCATCTCCAGCATCATTAAACTATTGAGCTATTAAACCTCCTATAGCTTGATCATAAAATGTGAATGAAATTGCTTGCCAGCTTATAAATATTTCAACTGATATATTCATTGGGAAGGTAATTCATGGTAGATTTGCCCTTTTCCCTGTCTGGGTGTGAAAAAAGTTCTTAATCGTAGGCTACGATCAGTTTGGAAAGCCTCTGCCTGCAGGGTGGGTAGATTTATATATATTAAGGTATAAATTGATTGAATTCACAGTAGGCAGCATATAGTGCAAACTATTCAGATTCAAACAAAAGAGGAAAGAATCTGATGAGAGGATGATTTGTGATTGTTCAAGCCCACATTGAAGCCATTTCATGATCATGCCCACAACATGCTTCCCAACACAGCTAATTATAAGTGGGAGATGATTGGAAGGGCCTATTATGTGCACAATGGCCAAATTGACTAATGACATATAAGTGCAGAGATCTCTAATGGTAGTTTAATACTCTGACAATGTCAGCAGATGGCTGACGAAAGCTTAGTAGAATAAAATTTTAATTATTTTAGTTCGGAGTCTCAGCCTTGCCCCCCATAATCCTCCCCTATCCTATCCCCTTCTCTCCCTCAGCCTTGCCCCCCCAGAATTCTCCCCTATCCTATCCCTTCTCTCCCTTAGCCTTGCCCCACAGACTCCTCCCCTATCCTATCCCCTTCTCTCCCTCAGGGTTGCCCCACAGACTTCTCCCCTATCTTATCCCCTTCTCTCCCTCAGCCTTGTCTCCCAGAATCCTCCCCTATCCTATCCCTTCTCTCTCTTAGCCTTGCCCCACAGACTCCTCCCCTATTCTATCCCCTTCTCTCCCTCAGGGTTGCTCCACAGAGTCCTCCCCTATCCTATCCTCTTGTCTCCCTCAGCCTTGTCCCGCAGAATCCTCCCCTATCCTATCTTCTTTCCCTCAGAGTTGCCGCACAGAAGCCTCTTCTCTCCTATCCCATTCTCTCCAGAGTTATTTTCAGGTTGGGGGGGGGAGTAGAACATCTAACTAATTAGCATTAGTTAATAATAATAGAAATACTAATGATCTGATGGTCATTTCGAAAAATCCTTTCTTAGCAAGCACCTGGAAGCCAAGAGGAACATGTGCCAAATTTCAAGTTGTAGGCTTTACGGTTCTGGAGATTTCATGATTACAGCATGAATGGTTTTCGGTTTTATATATATATATATATATATATATATACACATATACACATATACCTCTCTCTCTCTCTCTCTCTCTCTCTCTCTCTCTCTCTCTCTCTCTCTCTCTCTCTCTCTGTGTGTGTGTGTGTGTGTGTGTGTGTGTGTGTGTATTACTATATTTACATTGTTACAGAAGGAAATAACTTTGATATTTAATACAGTAGAGGGACAAAGTGTCCTTTCATTTGACACACTACATTAGTAGCACTTCCTAAAAGTACATCAGACAACTCAGAGAAAGTGGGGGGTTCAAAAGGGAAATTTAGAATCTTAGATTTATTATAAAGCAGCCAATGTGTGTTGCCTGTTTGTGGAGGAAGGTCTCTGAGCAATGAAACAACAACTCAAAAGCAGTTTCCTCAAATCCTTCAACTCAATGAGAGTTCTTAATAATAATGGATCCGGGTGTGTAACCCAGGTTGATAAGGCTGGTCTTCATAACTTCCTAATCTTTCCTTTCTGAATGTTATCTGTTGTTACTTTGGGTTCACATCTTCTAATCAAGAGGAACTTAGAAGTTAATTCAGAAAATAAAACACACCAATTCAAGTACACTGCTAACTCTTCCATGAATCTGCAACCTTTGGCATCCCTCCTTGTGCTCTACTTTTGAGGAATAGCCCTCTCTGGGCCTGAACTTTTCACCACATATATATAATCAAAATAAAGGCAATATCTTTGAATATGAAGCTATTGCTTCATAGCTTAGCTTTAAGACTGTCCGTATAATCTTATTGTTGGGCTGCACAATATGCCACTGCATGTATCAAAAGGAATACAGGACAGAAAGAGTCCCTAGCCTTGTTTATTTTGGCGTTAGCTGAAATCTACTTGATGATTGTTTCAATTTACTACTATTTATACTTTCCCCCTCCTTTGGGGAACAGTTATTATTCCTCTTATTTTTTTAGATTATAATGTAGAATTATGTTTTAAAATATTTTGTAATGTATCTTTCCTGCCCTTAGCAAGTTTCTGTTACTATTGTTGCTTTAGCTTCTGCTTTCCAAAAATACCAGATTTCTGAATGCTGTTTGCAACAATGCCAAAGAAAATATTGTGTAATGTATATTTTCTGCCCTTAGCATGGGGGGAAGGGGGAATTGTTTTTGTTTTTCAAAAATACCAATTTCCAATATTGTTTGCAATAATGCCAACGAAACATTCTCAAGAGTATGCCATCTTGTGGTTGAAAAGCACAGGTGACCAAGTCATTGGTTGGATGACATCATTAAAGAAAGCTTTATAGAAAAATAATATTTAGACAGGAGATGTTAACATAAACAAAACTCTGAGAAGGTAGAAATATCAGTCTCTTTAAACAAATTGCTCACACGAGATCAGGGACAATACAGTATGCATAGGATTTATACACAAGATAAGGCTATAATACATTTCAGGTTAGCGTAATCTATACACTGGATTTAATGAATAAATCATAGCTTATTTTAGGATAGGTAACCAACATTTGAAACAACTTGAAACAATGTCTGATTTGCCTATTATAGGGAGTCCTTGATTTATGGCTACAACAGGTACTGGAAAATTTGTCATTAAGCAGTATGATTAAGGGAGGTACCACATGACCAAACCCAATTTTCCAACCTTTTTTGCTGTGTTGTTAAGTATCACATGACTGTGACTTCTGACTTTCCCTGCCAATTTCCATATTAACTTTGCTTGTTAAAAGCCAGTTAGGAAGATCATAAATGGCAATCATACAACTATGGGACACTGTGACTGTCTGTTGTAAATGTGCAACATTTGCCAAGTGCCCAAATAACCATCCCTACCATGGGGATGCTGAAGCAATGGCAAGTGCTTCATAAGTCACCTTTTTCCATGTTGAAACTTTGAATGGTTGCTCAACAAGTGGTAAGTTGAGAAGTGCCAGTATAAATGTATCTTACTGATTTATTCCTGATTTGTTTCATCCCATGTCCAAATCTCTAATAAAATCCACAGACACATAGGGCAAGGACAGCTTTTAAAAAAGAAAGAAAAACAATATCTCCTTCACCATACCTTATTCCTTAGAGTTTAGTTTCTGGCTTTTTCAATAAGATATAAAACTGAATTATATATGAATATAGTTGGGAAAAGGTTTTGATAGACAAATTGTCAAACCCAAAGAAGAATGAGATAATCTAGGGATGGTTTATTGCAGAAAAGAGGGTAATGGGATTAGGGATGGGAGGGATGTTTGAAACTGATTTAATAAATTATATTAAAATAAATTCTCAAACATTAATCATACCAATAATTGATTATTAAAAGCTGTATAACAATTCCAATAGTTCAAAAAGCCTTTCTAGTTGTATAGAATTTTTATAATAATTCTATAAAACACATTTCTCTTTCCCATGTTATAGCTGGAAAAACTGATGGTAAAGATGGTTCATGACTCCCCCAATCATGAAACCATTTAATGTGACAGGCCAGCTAGAACCCAAAATGTTTGCCTGTGTTACCTGGCTCTTATTAAAGTCTATATAAGGTTTCATTAAGAAACAAAACTTAGCTAAAAGTCAGGATGGTGTTATGCAGATGGACTAGGCCTGTCTCTCAGTGGTTAAGGAATATATACAGAGTTGCAATTTGTTTAACCACAAACTATTACATAAACAGCAATAAATTGGGTTTGCTGATCACATTAAGCCAGAAGCTAAGCCCTTCAAATCACAATGGCTGGATTTTCAGGAAACAAATGACATTCTCCTATGCAAATGTGATAGGACCCTGCCACAGAAAAAAATAGTTCATTATAATCCTTATAAAAATGCAACAATTATTATTATTTATCATTTGTTATGCATCTGCAATACGCAGCTGTAGAGAAGCACCTAGTGTATTCTAAATTCACATAGAGAGCATCAATTAAGGCATGGCAGCCTCCCTGTAATTGGTGACACAGCAATTATGCTGTATTCAGTCCTTGGCTTCTTAATTTGAGCTTTGAAAGTTACCTACATTGAAAGTTGTAGTTTGCTTAACCAGTAGACCAGTGTTTTTCAATGTTAGCAACTTTAAAATGTATGAACTTTAACTCCAGCATATCTTAAAGTTTCCAAGGTTGAAAAACATTGCTTATATAGATCAATGTTTCTCAACCTCAGCAACTTGAAGTCTATTCTAATGGCTATGAGAATAACCTTGAGACACAGGAAGAAGAGCTGGAGTCCAGATAACGATCTGATAAAATCTGAGTCTAAACCAGAAATGTAGTTATAAAAGATTTTGTCTTCCTGGTCTGGACTACCTTGCAGGGCTGACAACACCTCTTAAATTGCTGATAATGTGAAGCATATGTGTAGACATATACATATACTTGGATCAATGACCTGATTTCAAAATAGGGTAGCTTCCTAAGCAATATCCAGCATGAACTGAATTAGCATGATAAAATACACTCCTGGATATTTTTTCAGTCCTCAGAATTTCATAGCAGGCATGACAATCTGGAAAGCATTTTCTCCAGAAGTAAAAATAATAATAACAGCCTCTTTTTGAGCTTGACATCTACTGTCTACCATGCAAGGTTTTTTGCAACATTATGAAGGTAATTTCTCAGAATTCAGACTTCAGCCAACAACAAAAACTCTGCAGGCTTTTCTTTGTGCCTCTAGGTTGCTTGAGTTTTCTTTAATTTCCTATATAAATAAACTGGAAGCTTACATGCTTCAAAGTACCAGCCTCTTCTTTTTTAAAAAAGGAAGTTTACAAGAAAGTGGAAGTTTTTTTAAAAATTTTTTTTTACAAGAATGTCTTTCAGTGCCACATAACATCCATACTTTTGGAAAATACTTTTGGTTGCAATGCAGTAGGCATACTCATTTAGCAATGGCAAAAAACTGGAGAGCAATGGTAGTATTGTATCACCAGTTTGCCCCCTCCCTAGCCCTTTTCCCATTTTGTTACTGGAACTTCCTGCCATAGCAGCTACTTTACCAACAGGCAATCATCCCCTGGCAGTTGTTTTCCAAATGCAAAGATAACATGATGTCAATATTCCAGTGTATCTACTGCCCCAATAAGGTTGATTATACTTAAAATGGAAAACCTGTGGTACATGGATCATGTTACATTTATTCTAAATTAGTTACTTTGCTGTAGGTTTCTTGACTGATTTAAGGTGCCGATCTTAGGTTTTACATCTTAGAAGAATAGACTGAATGGGGCTGAGAGATCAGCAATGGAAGCTCTGTTCTCTGTCATAATGGTCAACAAGGTTAAGCTTTACCTAATCCGGATCACCTTTTTTCAGTGATAGGTCCATGCCTTCCTAGGGAGTTTCCAGGTATGACATCATCACTCTTTTTAAAAACTCCCTCAGTGTAATTGTATTTCTATATTTTATTAAACTTGTAAACCACCCTGTAAAGCCTTCACTAGAAGGCTAGTGAAAAGTCTTTTAAGTAAATAATGAACCAATAGGTAATATTTTGTAAAACAAAACAAAAAATAACTCTCCTTGATTATGGTTATTGCCATTATCCATTGATGCATGCCATAACTACTGCTATATGCAAATATCCTTGCCAAATAATCCCCAATTCAACCTTGTTTAAAGCCTATTTTCAATGGATGCTTTTCACTGTGAATAGAATTTTTACTCAGATTCAATGATTTACAAATATTTGATGTGGATGGCTTGCAGTGGCTGAAAGAATACACAATGGGATCTGTGTATTACATGTCTGTGTACAAAAACAAAATGCAAGTTTTCACAGGTAACTTTCTCTTTCACAGGCAGAATTGTACAACTTTTTTGGGGGGTAAAAGCAGTCCTGTCTGACCACAGTTTCATCATTCAAACTTACAGTATTATTTTCCTTAATATATAGTGAGCATTATTACCACAACTAGTAGATGTCTTTTATTTTTTTAATCTAAAAGGTGGGTTTATTTTAAACCATTTTGCATCCAAGAAAAATCTTTTCTCAAAACATCGAAACAGGTTCTTAGTTTTGCCCATTCAATTGTAATCCCAAGGACAGATACTTGATGTGATTTTGCTAGGATCTTCTGCTTCCTGAGCATCTGGTTTCTGTTCTGTTTTGCTTTGGGTTACCACAGCAGGCACGGAACTGACTTCTTCTGTCTCTCCTAAGCAAGCTTCTGAGCCTTTTTCATTTTTTGCAGAATCGGTTCTGGTCAGTGTAGAATCTTTCTCTGCTTCTGAAGAGAAAGTGTTGTCTATAAATATGTCCTCTCTACTTTCTGATGAAAGGATCTTCTTTGTACCTTCTGACTGTGCCCTTGAAAGACTGTGGCCCAAAGACATGGGCCCAGCCAAACACTGCTGCACAATCTGAGTTATTTCCCCAGTGTTTGCTGGTACTTCTGCTTCTGCTTCCCATGGACAAATCTCTCTCTTACTGAATGTCTTCGATTGTTTGGCTTCTTGAAGGGAGATCTCCATATTTTCTGTACCATCAAGCATCTTTAAAGAAGTGCTGGTTACGGCTGCAGTGACGGCTGCAGCATTTAAATCAGACTGTAGAGAATTGCTACTTTCCTCCAGAGCTTCTGGTGTTTCAACAGAGCTTCTTGAATCTGTTTTCACATTCTCTTTGAAAGCCTTCCTTGTGGTCCCCTTCTCCAGTGGAGCTTCAGTAACTTCCCAGGGACATATTTCAGCTTTCATAGTAGCTCCAGCTTCCTGCATTTCCCAAATTTCTGTTTTTAGGCTTTTAGTATTGTTAGGTTTGATGGACAAGTCTAAACTTTTACTGCTGGGTGTTAATGAGATTATGTCAATATTTTTCTGGGAAGAAATTGAAGCTTGCTGACTATGTGACTTGAATACTTTAGCTGACATATCTCTCCAGACTTTCTTTAAGCTTGGGCTTGTCAGCATATTGCATTTTGAAACTCCACTGATATCCTGATTTACTATCGTATTACTGTTAGATGTAGGTTCTGTTTCCATGAGGCATAGTTCAGTCTTGCCACTGGATTCCTCTTCCTCAACTTCCCAAGGACATATCTCTGCTCTTTCAGCATTCTCTGATTTCGTTGAACCATCTTTGGGCAATGTTGGGCTTTGGCTGCTTATTTGTGCCATGCTCTCCCAAGGACAAATAGATTCTTGTGGGCTGCTTACTTCCTCTTGTCTCTTTATCTGCCTTATTAAAGGTTTTGTATCTGCTTTATAATTGGAAATCTGGTCTGACTCCTTTCTAAAGGTACTTTCATCTGGTGGTCCTTCAATCTTAGCATCTGTCTGAAGCTCCTGGAAATCCCACGGACAAATCTCTGCCTTTACACTCTCAACACTTCCAGTATTTTTAGAACTAACTTGCAATAGATGTGGGCTTTGGCTGTTTTTTCTAGTTGGTTCATCAGTGATCACACTTCCTGAGGGAAAAGTAGATCCTTGATTACTTCTTGATATCTTTACTTTTTTAAATGCTACTTCTTTCCAAGCTTTATTGGAGCTTGGAATTTTAAGTGCACTGCCTTCCTTCTCTTTGCAGAGCACAGTTGAGACTTGCTTTTTTGTTTTTAATGAGCGCATGGCTTCAGTCCATGGAGATATTTTCACTTCTTCTGAGGTTTCCCATGGGCAAACATCTATGCTTAGACTTTTAATATTATCAAATTTCTTTAAGCCACTATTGTATGGAGCCAATCTTTGGTCACCAGATCTTGGTGAAAATTGCTGAATCTCTCTGCTGTCCCATGGACAGACGTCTTCCTGTAAATTGCTCAGATTTGCAGTTGATTTGGACAAACTCACTGGAGAAGTATTTTTGCAGCCCTCATCTGCTTTGGAAGCATTTTCTTTGGTTGCTTCCCAAGGACAGACTTCTGCCTTTAAGTTTTCTGTGCTATCAAAGTTCTTTGAAGGGATTTTGGAAGATATGCTGGGATCAACATTGTCCCATGGGCAGACAGCTTCCTGGAGATTGCTTACCTTTTTTAATGATTTATAAGGACTTGTTTCTTTCTGTAAAATAATTTTAGGACTATCCATGCTTTCCCAAGGACATACTTCTGCATACAATAAGTTCTCTGCACTGCCAGATCTGGAGGAGTTTAGGCCTTTAACATTTGATTCAGATGACAATTTATCAGTATTCAGGATTTCACAAAGATTTCTTGTCTCTTGTGAGCTACATGCCTTTTCTGGAGACTTAGATTCAATGGCTACAGTCTTTTTGGTTGCTCTTTCTGTATCCTGATTGAAAGGACCCAACATTTCCCAGGGGCAGATTTCTGCTTTATTAGCAGTTTCAGTGCCTTCAGCTTCCCAAGGGCAAACTGTTGTATTTCGGTTTTCCAGGGTTTCTGAATTCTCTGAGGTGAGTTTGGAAAGACTGATGGTCTTGGATGTAGACTTGATCAATAAATCTTCACTAACTATGTTCTCCCATGGACAAATAGATTCCCTATTCTTGTTGTTCCCTTTCACAAATGCTTCTTCTCTAGTTCCTTTTTTCTCATCTCTGGAAATGACAGTTACATTCCCTTTAAGCTCCCTTTCTGATGTTGAGGGATCATTATTTTCCCAGGGACTTACTTCTATTTTGAGTTTTGGTTCACTGATTTCCCAGGGACAAATTTCAGCCTTCTTGTCTGTTTTTGAAACCAATGACAAGAGATCGGAAGTTTTATTCTCTCTGTTTTGATCCTCTGGTCTCCCACTGGGACACATAGATCCCCATTGGCTCTTGGTCTTTTCCAGTCTGTTAGGGGAGATCTCCTTAGCACCTTTGGAAACTGTTGCTGGTAAATTGCTCACTCTATCCTCAATATCTTCATTCATCTCCCAAGGGCATAACTCAAGATTTCTATTTAAATTATTTAAATTATTTTTCTGTGAGCTAGGAGAAGCTTCTTCTTCCTCATCCCAAGGGCAGATAGTTGCTTGTTTGCTGAATGGCTTTGCCCTGCGATATCCAGGACTCCTAGAGGGTACTTCTTGTCTTGATGATCCTTCAGCAGGGATTAAATCTGTTTCTGCCAATTTGGACTTTCCACTGATGTCTTTCTCATTTTTGGCTTCGCTGCTCTCACTGTTCTTTCTGGAACTTATGCTTCCCTTTAACTTTGAATGGTTGGATGCTTTAATGGCCATACCTAAGCTTTTTATGGAGCTTTTGGGAATGAGGGTTTGTGATTGTTTCTCAGGAGAGCTGTTTTGATTATCTGAATCACTCACCTCTAGGTCTTTCTTGCTTGGAATGGGCATTTCCATAACCTCCCAAGGGCAAACTTCTGCAGCAATGGAAGCTAGCCTGGTTAATTCCACTGGAGAAGAAGATGGCACTTTATTTTCTTCTTGCATAGTCTTTTCCATTTCAGGTTTTAATGAAGAACCCTCTTCTGTTTCTGTTAGATATATGTTGACTGGCACTGGAATATTTGGGGGTTCTTTTTTAGGAGACTGAGCAGGATGTTGCTTTTGATCATAAGTGTCCCACTGAGCTACACACCTTTCAAGGTTGTGAATCAAACTTTGCTGCCTGATGGGTGGCTCAGGTGGTATCTTCTTAATGGTGTGGGGTCTTCTCTCAGGCAAATCAGAAATGTTGATACTGATGCTCCTGATGGGGGCGGGTGTTACATCCTTCTTATCTCTGCTTTCTAATGGTGTTGATGTGTCTGTCTCAGCTTCCCATGGACATATAACGTTTTTGCCTTCGGGAAAATGTCTCTCAATTCCTTTTGCTGTGTTCTCCCTCTGCAACGGTTTCACCTCAATTTCTGAGATGACATTGCTGAATTCAGTGTGTCTGGACTTCTCACTTTCTGGCATGGTATCTTCCACTACTGCACTTATGTCTTTCTCTTGAGCAAGTTTATGGGTATTTTCTAAATTAGCTGTTCTAGTTAACAGTGAGGCATTTTCTTTTTCACTGCTGGCAACACTAAGAGATTTCTGCAGAGTGTAATACTTGGGATGCAGAGATTTCTTATCTGCCAACAAATTGTGAGCACTGGCTGATTTGTATACCAGAGTGGCTGAATAAACAGAGTCATTGTCAGATTTCTCTGAGGTTTTCTTGACTAGCTTTTTCCTCATCAGTGAGTCTAACAGAGGAGCTTCCTTGCAACTATCGTGTCTGGTTAATTCACTGTTTGCCTTAACATCCCTCTGGTGGTCATAGGTACTGTGGGATTTCTGCAGTGAAATCCCACCTTGTGCTTGGAAGGCCACCTTGTGCTTGGGAGATAAGTCCTCCTTCAATTTCATGCTCAGATTTCTGGAGTCCGAAAATCTTTGCTTATAGGAGACAGAATGATTTTGTCTTCTTCCACTGATAGACCCATCTTTTTCCTTCTTGCTGCACTGGCGGGACATAGATTCAGGTAACTCGGTGATACGTCTCATCAAAGTGTGGCCTAAGCCCCTCTTTGAACTTCTCTTCTTCTGAAGGTGCGGGTTGTTGGCCGTCATCTTCTTGGTCTTGTGAAATTCTAGCTGTGTATAAAGCTTTTTCAATTCATCCTACATATTATGTGCAAGGGGAGGAGAAAATACAGTAAAGGGCAGGGGAGCAAGATAACAGAAGAAAAATAAAACAGCTTTTCAGTCAAAAATATAATAATAATAATAATAATAATAATAATAATAATAATAATAATAATGAATTATGTCCCCTGGATGGAATTGTGACCTGACTGGGTTCACTAAAGTATTTTATTTTTAAATTGCTTTATCTGTGTTCTTAGGATGGCTCTTTATTCCAGGATTAAGTGAAATATTCCTGCCATGAATCCATTCCATACTGCTGCGTCTACATGGCCTTTTTCTATCTGGAGAGTCATGGTTGAGAAAGAAATGATTAGTTGGAGGGATGTCTTCTGTAATGGAGCAACTTTGTTCAAGAATCTGATATAATTGTGCAAAATTTCTACTGGACCAGGGATGGCAATCAGCCATTGGTCCTTCTTGATCTCTCTTGTGTCTTTGGATGATACCTTTCTGGCCTGACATAGAAGATTGGAAGTAGATACACTTTTCTTTGATGGTTCTCCTTCCCCTAATTGGTGTATGTCTATGGGGTGAGACATGCAGCTTCATCTCAGTCCCTATATCTATTTATCTTCTACATGAAGTTGCAGGGTAGATCAAAAGTTGGCATGGGATTAAGCGTCCATAATGAGGATAATACTCAGTTATGCATGTCTGCCTAGGACTGCTCAAGTCATGCTGCTGAGGTTTTTTTCTGGGTGCCTGGGTGCCATGAGAGCCTGGATAGGAAGGACCAAATTCCAGTTCAAATCTAGTAAGGCTATGTGGTTGTGGATTTTAGTTTCTTCCCCCAGATCTGGACAGTTTTCACTTGGTAACTTTTGGATGGGCTTATACTCTGCTAGACCGAGTTGCTACACTCAGCTTCTGCTCAACAAGCAGGCGGCAGTTTTGGCAAGAGGGCCTTTGCACAAAGCCAACTTGCAATGGCAGTTCTCATTCCTAGTCTGGGAGATTCTCTCATGTCATAATCATTTCCTCTTATGACTATTGTAATGAATTATACATGTGGCTGTCTTGAAAGGCATTTTGAAACTATAGCTGGTATGACCACGTACTATCACTTTGTGGGCTGCACTAGTTTCTAGTAGTGCAATCTAGATGCAATGTAAATGCTGGTTATCACCCATAAATCCTACATAGAAAGAGGCCAGGATATTTGGGGGATGCCTGTTCCAAATTTCTATCCATTCCACCAGACGGAATGGATAGAAACTTCATTCAACCGCAGAGTCAGTATGTATCTTATTCCTTCTTTGATGTGGTACTTGCCTTGTGAAACAACCTCCCCACTACATTTTGGACAGCCTTAACCCCACTGACCTTTCGGAAGAATATGTTTTTTTTCTTGTTTTCATATGTATGTTCTCGTTTTATGCTTGTTAGCCACCCACAGTTAGTTAAATTGGGATGATACATTGATTGTTTGATCAATAGATGGATGACAATTTGCAGAATTACAAAATGCAAAACTGAGAAGATGCTTAGCTGATTTGGGGATGTGATGATGGAGAAGTTGAGTTCTGGAAGAGTTTGTAGCAATAGCATTCAAACTGTATGTGATTCAGAGCAGGAATTAGCCCTGAAAGAAAGGGTTAAATGCTCACTCTCTGTCCCAGGAAATGAAATGGTTTACATCAGTTTAGCAAGAATTCAACTTTCCCCCTTCCCGTCTCCCCATTCTATTCTCTCAAGGAGAAACAAAGAAGCTCAGTCTTATTGGACCTTCCCACCCTTTTGCAACTAGCATTTATTTGGGGTAGTGAAGGATGCCCCCTTTTTTTATGCTGTTGATTTTCTTCAGGAGAAAGACTACAAAAGGGAACTCTTACTCTGCACTGTTTCTGGCATAGCTAGCGTCAAAAGAAGGTCCTGAGTGTTCCACCCACCCGAATGTCATCGGGATCAAGACTGTGCTCACTCCATGCCGAGGTGATGCTGCTGTTCAAGAAGGATCCTGAATGCCTAATATCCAACTCATCCTCATACATCTCAGCAGCAATTTCTTCCCTCAAGGGTGAGCCTGCATACAGGAACTGTTTGGAAGAACATAAAAATAGCAAATGTTGAGTTTCTTCAGGGAAAGATAATACAAAATGTTAATTTGAGATCTCTGATCTGTCTATCATGCACAGTGATGTAAAGTTGAAGCCAATTTCTGATACTTCACGTTTGATGCAACGCTATAAATTCACGCAAAAATGCAAAGCCACAAAACGTGATCTACAAGTTAACCGTAACAGAGTTGGAAGGGACCTTGGAGGTCATCTAGTCCAACCCCCAGCTCACACAGGAGACCTGTACTAAGGATTCGAACCGCCGAACCGCCGACCTTTCTGATAGCCACTGAGCAACCTAGTCAGGATAACAAAGTTACAATGGTTGGTTTCAGACATCAAGCTCAAGAAACTATATTATAGATCAGCATATTTGTGTCAATCCTGTCTATAAGAGTCTGAAACTCCTCAAGCATTGGGCTTTTTGGCCATGTTAGTTGGGAATAAAATTGTTGAATTCCAACAGGCTGAAGTAATTTGGGGTATGTGTTTTGTTCAGTTTCTCATCTTCTTAAAATCTTTGGTACTTAGTTTGGCTGGAAATACATGATTTGTTATGTCTGTATATTGCATTTCCAGATTTAAATGGTAGTTTTATGCTGAATGGGTTATTGAATAGCCCTTGACCTATGGCCACGATTGAGCCCAACATTCCTGTTGCTGAGTGAGACAGTCATTAAGTGAATTTTGCCCCATTTTTCAACTTTTTTTGACACAGTTGTTAAGTGAAAGAATGCAGGTGTTAAATTAGTAACATACTATAGGTTACTAAGTGATATTATATTATATTATATTAAGTGAGTCTGGCTTCCTCATTGACTTTGCTTGTCAGAAGTTCACAAAAGTTGATCATGTAACCCCAGGATATTGCAACTGTCATAAATATGAGTCAGTTGCCAAACATCCAAATTTTGATCACTTGACGATGGGGGTGCAGCATTGGTTGCAAGGGTACAAAAACTAGTCATAACTCACTTTTTTCAGTGCTGTTGAAAATTTGAATGGTCGCTAAATGAACTGTTGTAAGTCAATGACTACCTGTAATAATAAAAACCTACTTCAATTTTTTTCTGGCCAAGTTATATGATCCAACAGGATGGATATGTCCCAGGTTTCTTTCTAGAAGCAACATTATCAGATGGGACTTGGGAGGCATATGCCTTCTCTGTACTTTGGAATGATTTCCCCCAGAAATTCAGTTGGTCCCAATCTTATTATTCTGTAGAATGTCTTTAAAACCTTGGCTTTCTCCCAGAATGGCCAGGATGATAGATGAGATGACAGTTCTTGGAAGTAATTCAGACAAGAAGCATTGGCCTTGCACACTAACACTGCTTTTATTGTAAAGTTATAGTAATAGAATTTGAAAGCCTGAAATACAGGTAATCCTTGACTTACAACCACAATTGAGCTCAAAATTTCTGTTGCTAAGCAAGGCAGTTGTTAAGTGAGTTTTGTCCCATTTTCCCACAATCAATCCCATAAATATTACTTGAGCTCGTCTTAAGGAGGTAGAGCATGCATTAGTGGTCCCTTGATTGTACACTGTACAAAATGTTCAATTTTGCTTTGTTTTTGTTGATATTATTGGGGGGAAATTGGTTCATGATTGGGAGCTCAAATAATTCTTCTAAATAAATAAATAATAACACCCATTCCCCTCTCACGCACACGTAAAACTTTGGACAGCAAATATGCCATACATTCTTGCATCTTTTAGATTTTTGTTCCTGAAAACCACATTCCCTAAATTAAAACAAAGTAGAAAACAGAAAATGAACAGAACAGCGTTATAACCCGATTACTGATTCAATTTGGGGGGGGGGGATGGAAGAGAGAACAGAACCTTTTTGCTTACTTTTTGTAAAGATTCATCCTACCTTTGGGATGAAAATAAGTGCAAGTGTCATTGTGGTAGTGACATGAGTATGGATGAAAAATAGTAGTAGAGTCCAGTCAGGATGCAAGGAAGGAACCATTAAAAATCTGAAGGGAGGAATAGAGAAGATGGCATGGTAAGATGCATTGGAGATATAAAATGGTTGGAAGAATTAGTGATATAGTACATGTATTCCTTGTAACAATGATGCCAGAATAATTTGTAGGGGGAAAAAGGTAAAAGCAGGCATAATTATCATCCTTAATTCTAGTGCTTGTTTTGACACAATTTAATATTTAGTCTTCAGAGGTCAGACACAAACAACAAAAGCGGCTCTGGGACTTAGGTCAAGCTGTTCCTTTGTGTTCCTCCACTGAACATAGGAATCTCACAAAATTTTGCCTGCTTTCCCCTGGGAAAGTCTGACATAGACCCATATCAGTCTGATACAGAGTTTGACTTCATAGGCTTCCTCCCACCTATAGAGTCCAGACCGGCATATCTCCACTGGAGCCTCCTTTCTTTCAAGTTTTAATTCCACCACATTAGATAAGCGCTTCACATGCAGGATTGTTACAATCTTTACAATGCCTCCCCTTCCATGGCAGATGTGGCAAAAGCTCACCCAATTTGAGAACAGGCATTTTTTAAAAAAAAGTTTCTCTGTTTGTTGCCCTTCAAAAATCAGCTTGGCCAAATTAAAATCGGAAGGAACTGAAACTGAACATTCTGAAATAAATGGTAATTTTGGGCAAGCAAAGCACATTGCAATTTTGATATTACCTTTTCTAAGGGATGATTGAAGAAGGATTAATAGCTAGGAAGGGCATTTTTTTAAAAATTAAATACTTAAAACATACCACACTCCTAAAATATAAATATGTTAACATTTGATTTACTGATTATTTGGTGTCCTATTATTCCTTCTCAGCATGAATGTACCTTACTTTCTTCTGTACATAAAATTGTTCTCATTTAGATTGTTTTCAGATTTCTTTCCTTGCTATCAAAAGTAAAAGCATGAAGTAGGTGCTATTATTCATTTAGATCAGGGGTGGGCAAATGTGGTTCTTTTACAACTGTACAACCTTTTACAACCTGTACAACCACATTTGCCCACCCCTGATTTAGATCATTTATTCATTTAGATGAAGTTTATAAAAATCCAAACACGTTACAAATGGTCATTGAATATATCTTTGCTGAATCTTTACCTTTTTTAAAATAAGGAAATGGAATAGGAAATACTTATTTTTAATATTTTTGTTTATATTTACACAGGCTCTGTTTTAGAGTGATTTAGCACTTTGGATTCAATTGTAGTATGTTGCTTTGGAGAACCTGTCTTCAAGTATTTAAAGCAACTGTGTCTTTTCCCCTTTAACCCAGCCGCCAACAGATGCCAACAGATATTCTAGGCCCAAGTGAAGTTGTCAAAGCACTTTTTTACAATTCAATCTGAAGTATTATATTGCCCTCCTCAGCTTTATCACTATCTTTGGTACAATATATAGTCATACAATCAATATACAATATAAAATCTGTAATCAAATTATTATACTAAAATGGTTATTATAATTTTGACATTGCCAATCTCTTCATTATTGGCTATTAAATTGGTTATACAACACTAAAAGATGCTTATCAGTCCTTACCACGAGCAGCTGTGGGACACTCTGATCATTGCATGATTCACCTTGTACTTGCTTACAGGCAAAGACTTAAAACCACAAAACCAACAATTAAATCAGTGAAGACCTGGACTGAGGAGGAAAAGTTAAAGCTATAGGCCTGCCTTGAGTGCACTGATTGGAATGTTTTTGAAAGTACCTCTGCAGACTTAGATGTACTCACAGATACTGTAACATCATATATCAACTTCTGTGAAGACCTATGTACTGACCAGGAACTTGCGAATATACAGCTTCCTTCCCAAGCTGAAGGAAAACAACAACTGGCAGATGACCTGAATGTGTTTTACTGCACATTGAAAGGAAACTACAGCCATCTATCTCCACAACCCCCATCTCAGACAGACCAACAACAGCCAAGCCTCCTACAACTGACCCCATCCCATTGGGTTCACAACCCCTAGTAATCACAGAAAAGGAAGTGCAAGACCTATTTCATAGACAAAAGCCAGGAAAAGCTCCAGGCCCAGACAAGATAACTCCTTCATGCTTAAAAGTCTGTGCTGACCAATTGGCCCCCATCTTCACCCATATCTTCAATAAATCACTAGAGATGTGCTATGTTCCTTCTTGTTTCAAACACTCTACTATCATCCCAGTGCCGAAGAAGCCCATACTCAAGGAACTGAACGATTATAGACCAGTTGCTCTAACATCTGTAGTCATGAAAACCTTTGAAAGGCTAGTGCTTCTCACTTGAAAACCTTCACAGATCCACTGTTAGACCACCTGCAATTTACATACCAAACAAATAGATCAACAGATGATGCTGTTAATATGGCTCTGCACTACATCCTACAACATCTTGAATCTCCAAAGACCTACGCAAGGGTTCTCTTTGTAGACTTTAGTTCAGCATTCAACACCATCATTCCAGACATTCTTCTAACTAAGCTAAATCAGCTAGCGGTACCTGAACACCTGTAAATGGATCATAAGCTTCCTAACAGACAGGAAGCAGCAGGTGAAGCTAAGCAGAATCACATCAGATACCTATACAATTAGCACAGGGGCCCCACAAGGCTGTGTGTTCTCTTCTCTCTATATACCAATGACTGCGTCTCAAACAATCCATCTGTTAAACTACTGATGTTCACAGATGACACAACATCGGTCTCATTCGAGACAATGATGAATCCGTATATAGACGGGAGGTTGAACAACTAGCCTCATGGTGCAACCAGAGCAAACTGGAACTGAACACACTCAAAACTGTAGAAATGGTGGTGGACTTTAGGAGAAACCCTCACATACTACCACCTCTTACAATACTAGACAACACAATACAGTATCAACAGTAGAGACTTTCAAACTTCTAGGTTCTACCATATCTCAAGACCTAAAATGGACATCTAACATCAAAACCGTCATCAAAAAAGCACAACAAAGAATTTTCTTTCTGCGCCAACTCAGAAAGCTCAAACTGCCCAAGGAGCTGCTCATATAGCTCTACAGAAGAATTATTGAGTCTGTCATCTGCACCTCTATAACTGTCTGGTTTGGTTTTGCAACCCAACAAGTCAGACACAAACTTCAGAGGATAATTAGAACTGCAGAAAAAAACAATTGCTACCAACCTGCCTTCCATTGAGGACCTGTATACTGCACGAGTCAAAAAGAGGGCTGTGAAAATATTTATAGACCCCTCGCATCCTGAACATAAACTGTTTCAACTCCTACCCTCAAAACGATGCTATAGAGCACTGCACACCAGAACAACTAGACACAAGAACAGTTTTTTCCCGAACGCCATCACTCTGCTAAACAAATAATTCCCTCAACACTGTCAAACTAGTCACTAAGTGCGCATTACTATTAATCTTCTCATTGTTCCTATCACCCATCTCCTCCCACTTATGACTGTATGACTGTAATCTTGTTGCTGGTATCCTTAAGATTTATATTGACTGTTTCCTAATATGATTTGATTGCTTATTTGTTCCCTATGACTATCATTAAGTGTTGTACCTTATGATTCTTGACGAATGTATCTTTTCTTTTATGTACACTGAGAGCTTATGCACCAAGACAAATTCCTTGTATGTCCAATCATACTTGGCCAATAAAGAATTCTATATAAAGAATTCTATCTATAGATATGTTTTTCTCACATTCATCAACACTTTCATATACCAATAGCACTTAGACTTATATACCACTTTACAGTGCTTTACAGCCCTCTCTAAGCGGTTTACAGAGTCAGCATATTGTCGCCAACAATCTGGGTCCTGATTTTACCCACTTCGGAAGGATGGAAGGCTGAGTCAACCTTGAGCCTGGTAAGATTTGAACTGCCAAATTGCAGGCAGCCAGCAGTCAGCAGAAGTAGCCTGCAATACTGCACTCTAACCACTGCACCACCATGGCTCAATATCTTTGAATATTTTTGTTAATTCCATAACAATAATATTATAAATTAGGAAACTGGGAAAAGTCCTTGGCCTGTTATTTTCCAAATAATGGATACAAAATATATATATTGGATTTCTATTAGGGCTTTGCCTGCTTCAAATTATCCAAACTGGTGAAGCTTAGGTTAGGGCAGTGATGGCTAATCTTTTTGCCATTGCGTGCCAAAAGCAGGGGGAGCATGGGGGGGTCATGTGCACGTGTGTCCATACCCATAATTCAATGCGCCCCACACATGTGCTCGCTCCCCCACTTTTGGCACGTGATGGCACAGTGGACCCGGTAGGCCCGTTTTTCACCCTCCCCAGGTTCCAGAGGCTTTCTTGGAGCCATGGGAAGGCGAAAACAGGCTTCCCCACCCCTCTGAAGGCCAGAAAAGGCTTGTTTGCCGATTTCCAGTGGGCCTGGAAGGCCCAAAAATCAGATGCACACGCTGGAGCTGAGCTAGGGCAATGCTCGCGTGCCCACCGATATGGCTCCGCGTGTGCCATAGGTTCACCATCACGGGGTTAGGGCTTTTGCCTGACCCCAATAAAAGACTTCACCCCTTTAATGAATCATCTCATTTAAGTAGCCAGCTCTACTTATATGAAGTGACTGCTTTAAAGAAGTGTTGTGTTAATGCTCCAAAATGATTTTAAGCACTCCTTTCAATATTTTTTTCAGATGAAATCCTCCTCTTTAGTTACAATGAAATAAATACAATTATTACAAAGGAAGGCAAGATTTTGCCTCTTTCTTAAAAGAAGATAATAAGATTTTAAGAGCTACTTTAGCCCACAGTATACAGGTAATTTTTCTGATTATGCCAAGAGCAGAGAACCCTGGCATTCAAGGCAAATTCTACTTTTCATTTCTTCTTGCAAACCATTAAAACATGTTGCTTTTAATACTGCCAAATTCTGTGTCAGAGCTTGTATCATTAGGACAGAGATAGTAAAAGTAGATAATTTTTTTCACTCTAACTAGAAATAAACAAGGTAGTATACAAAATGTGTGTGTCTATGTGTATACTGCAGAACTACTGAATTATTAACTCACTTTGCAAAGATGTAAAACACATAATTATAAAATAAAGTACAACTTATGCATACACATTTTATTTTACACCTCATTTTTAATTAAGTTTTTACCTCTTTGCAAATCTAGTTTAATAATTCAGTAGTTTAATCTTAAATATTTCTAGCATCCTTTTGGTTGTATTTTATTGCTCCATTTTATTCTTTCCCTTATGCATTTCCATGTGACCTTTGTAACAGTAAATTATTGTGGTGAGTACTTATATAAACATAGACAACATAGACAAAACAGCAGATTTTATTGCCACTTTTTTCGATATCAAAGAAGCTTTTCATGTGGTTTTCCACAGCAACTTCTGCTTTGTTTATAATATATTTTTCAAAGAGTTATCTATATTTCTTTCTATTTGTATTAACATTTATGTCATATTACATTATTAAATGTGCTGTTTACATATATTTTCAGTGCCTTCATTTGCAATAATAAAAAATGCAATGCCTTACAATGTAAACAGATACTTTTATCATTCTGATTACAGATGGAGCTTGCAGTAGTTCTTGGCTAGAGACATCTATTTATACTTTGATAGGCACAACTTTTCAAGGACTTTTGTGGCCAGTGTTTACTCTTATAGCTCCTGGGAATCAGGTAATGCCAGCATCTCAAAATATTATTGCCTTAAGCCTATCTTTTGAAAAAGCTCTTTTTTTCTTACCTCATAACATGAAAAGCGGTGGAAGTTATCAGCTCATTGTGGACAGCAATGCACATGTAGCGAGGTTCATGAAAAGCAGAAGGGATTGTTCGAGAAGTAAAGCACAGAAAACTTCCCCAAAACAAGAACAGCATTTCAGCTAGACAGCAAGAGATACAAAGATAGACAGAGATGTGGCATTATTCTTCCCATAGTTTCCTGTATTCTTATCCCATGCTTCTAGATGGCATATTGGATGGATGGATGGATGGAGAAAGAAAGAAAGAAAGAAAGTGAAAGAGAGAAAGAGAAAAAGAAAAATGAAAGGAAGGAAGGTAGATAGATAGATAGATAGATAGATAGATAGATAGATAGATGATCATATTCAAAATCTGTTAGGAAAACATTTCTCATCATTCCATTGATTGACTCATTGCTGAACTGAAATGGTTGGAGGTTGACAAAATTCTAAGAAGGAACACTCGATTGCATATCCAGAGATACAATACTCCCATTTAACTCATCATATGGTATTTCATATACTAGAACTGAAGTTCTATACCACTGAAGCATGAACAAATTATTCTTCTGCTAGTGTCTGCAGTCGCATAACAATTCACAATCATCTCAATAGCAACTCAAAGCTGAGGATGTATATTGCTATTTATTGCTGCAGTAAAAAATAGAAGCAAAATGTTGAAAACAAAACAGGCATTATGGAGGATGGAAGGAAAAGAGAGGAAAGGAATAGATAGGAGAAACATGGAAAGATGGAAGAGAGTAATTATTCAAGGTTGAGAGGATGTTTAGGAAAGAATAATGACATCAGTGTTAATGATAACTTTTGGCACTGTGCTTATTCTGAGAAACAGAAGTAAATGCCAAATCAATGGGTGCTGACTTTAGAAAAGTAAAGGGCCAAGGGTAAGATGAGGAAAATAAAAATATGCAGTAGACCCTGTACAAAGCAATAACCAAGGTTAATTATTATTTATATAGAATAAACAGATGACAGTGGCAACCATGTGATCAAAACTCTATCTTTCTCCTTTCCTGTCACATGGCGAAGTATGAGATCCTCACCCACAGCCATCATGTAATCCCATCGATCTTGATCACAGATGTAAAACTGGAGGCCCCTAGGTGTCTGTGAACGGACTACCAGTGGTATGTTTTTCTCAATATTCTCCAGCATCCCAACTGTCCATGCAGCCAAAAACCATAGGACCAACAGTAGAATCAATGCCAGTTTCTTTAGCACTAGCCCACTGGTCATGTAAGGGACTCGCTGAGCCGTGTGAGACAAAAAGACCTTTAATACCCTGTGGGACAAGAAAACAAAGAAGAAGAACCATCTTCATTGTTTCTTTGCAAAATGAGAATGGTTTATAGTGTTCAAGTACATGAAGGAATTGGGGGAACCATACAATCAAACATCTGTAAATAGTTTCTGCAATGAATTGCTACTAGTTCCTGAAAGTTAGCTTTAATTGTTAACAGTTAATAAAGGATTTATATTTTCCTTTTTTCACCCCCACCAATTGTTTTTTTTTTAAATTTTGGTCTTCATTTTTTGAAATAGTCTTTTGATTAATCCAGACACTATTGTGAATCCTTCTAGTGGAAAAGAAAATTAATAAACAAAATTAAAATAAACACAGACCCCCCCCCTAAAAATTGCAATAAATAAAATATGGACATTAAAGCTTAAGGATTGTATTAAACTAACATTTAATCATGCTAGACTTCACTCAGAAGATTTGCAAATCTTGAGAGAGAAAATGGATCCTGATTGAGATTTATATACATTTTTAGTTGAATTAATAATTTCCTCTTCAGAAGAAATTACAGTTCCCAGGAGGCCCTGGAAAAGATGGTTTTTTTTAAAAAAAAGTCAAAATGGTATCAAATCAGGATAAGCGCATAATATAATTTATCTGAGAAGTTTTTCTGGCACTTCTCTAACCAATGTGGAGCCAGTGTACTGGATTAAATGGATCACTGGATTTAGAGGGATTGAACAAAAGAGGGATTCAGCTGCCAGTATTCATTCTAATCACAGACTTAAGAAAATAAGTCCAAGGTTCAATCCCTTTATTTCATTCACCTTCATGCAAAAGTCTCACCTATACAGTTTAAGAGTGATTGTTCCATAAACAATGGCAAAACCCAGCATGCGCACCCATCGCAGGACAATGCAGCGGAAGATACTTGGCTTGAAGTACAAGATAAAGACCTGCATCAGAAGGAAACGCAAACATAGTGATGGGTAGACCAGGTTTCTTTTCTCAGAAGGGCATTGAATTGGGGGAAGAAAGGAAAGGGAAATTTAAATTTAGTCTTGGGTCTGAATCACACTGCCTTTGCACAATATACTAGGTTAACTGACCATGATTGATTAAATAATTTCAGTTCTTTGTGTTTGCACTGAAATATAAACTAAAGCAAAATATGAATCAAGCCTTACAACTTAGCTTTCTGTCCTTGAGCAATTGATTAATCAGATGTCTCAGGGCTATCATACAAAACAGATTATTCTAATTAGCCTCATTTTTTCATAAATGTAATGTTTATGAACATTAAAATTTGTATTTTTCATGGCTTATAGTCATCAGTCTATATTTGCATATTTGCATGGTCCTGCACCACTTTTTTGGGGAGGTGATTCAAGTCATTGTTGCCTCCTAGATTAGTCCCTTCAGTTTTCCTTGCAAGATTTTCCCGAAGTGGTTGCCATTACCTCCATCCTAGGGCTGAGAAAGAATGTATGTTGGTCCAAGTTCACTCAGCTGACTTTGTGTCTAAGGCAGAACTAGAACTCATGATTTCCCAATTTCAAGCTCAGTGCCTTAGCAATTACACCAAACTGGCACTCAGTCCTGCATACCTATGCTAAAAAGATAGTTTTGAGCAGTGCAGTAGTTTTCCCAATCTTTTTTTAGACTGCTCCAAAATGCTGCCTAATGTTATGGAGCTTCCCTTTGTCTCTCACCAGACTCTTGTTCTAGCCTCAGAGGCTGCCATTTCAAGCGCACATTTTTGCCTCGGCTTGCCCAACATACAATTCACGTCTTTCTTTGGACAGCAGTATGTTGACAGCACAACCCTTTTCCATTCTCCTTCCTGTGAGCCAGGGCACTGAAAATTAGTTTTCTTTCCCAGTAGTAACGCACACTGAGATGGTAAACCAAGCCATATTCATTTTTTTTTGATGGCCCAGTACTATTCATGTATCTCAGATAACTGAACCCCTTTGGGTCCAATTCAAATACTCACAGGAAAATAGAGCAGGAGTGAGCCAAAGAGTATTGTCTCCAGAAGAATAACTCCGGAAGCCCGAATCCTCTGGGAAAAGAGAAATGAATGTGAAATGATGGTGCTTTGAAATCAAGGTTGGTGATTCTAAGGTAATACAAATTTTTGCAAAAAATAATGGCAAGAAAGAGAGCAGGACAACCATTTTATAAACCCAGTTTGTGTTCTACTGTTCACCATGGCCCTTACCTTGCTCTTCCTATAATGGTAAGAAATTAACATGTTGAAGAAAACTGTCAACATACAGAAGGCCTGGAAAGCAAGAACAATAGCCCGTAGAGACCAATCTTCCTGGATCAGACATGGTTTGCCATCAATACAGGCCATGCATCCTTCCCAACAGGGATGGCATTGCAGCAAATTCCCAGAATTCACTGCTCCATCCTGGGAAGCACTTTGTCCTTAGGGTGGGAAAAAGAGTAGAAAAACAATACGTTAAAATAGTTGATAACTATTACTGATCACCATCCTGAATGTTCTTGCATATTCATATTTAAGGAGAAGGCATAACATTTGAAAAGTTTTCAGTAGACATCTGCTGTCTTGGTCATTTCTATATAATGGTGTCCAGTTCAAAACATACATATACAAAAACTTAATTTGTGCTTAAATATTATTTTTATTTTTCATTTTTTTACATTCCAAGTTTAAAAGAAAAAAATACATCCTTGTCCTGGTTTTAGAGAAATCTGTGGAATTTTGGCAATCTTTTAGCAAAACAAATTAAAATAAACTCTCATTATACCATCCACATGCAGTATATGGAGTATACTACCATATAGAGTACTATATTCCTATTCCTATCTGGAGAGAATCACATCATACACTATTTAGTTTTTAAAGCAAGCAGAGGCAATCTCTACTATTCATATTGTCTCCCAGAAATTCTGACAGTGCCCAAATCCAATGGCAAACAAGCCAAATCTCATTCATGTATTTTGGGCCTGAACTTTTGTCTTTTAGGGATTTCCCACTCCCATCCCAAAACCCGCAAGTGCAAAAAATGGACCGAAACTTCAGTTTAAATCCCTTGTAGTGACATTCAGCAACACTCAAACATGATCTGCTCTATGTTTAAGTTAGGAATATGTTAGAAATAAACTGAACAAAGAAAACCACATGGCAATTCTAATTCAACACCTAGAATCTGGCCAAATTCAGCACCTAGAATCTGGTCAAATGTGCAGGTTTTCATTCACTCAGTTCTTAAATATCCCAAATTGGAAAATAGTTATAGTTGGACTATAGGTAATTCTCAGCTTATGAACACAATTGGGCCCAAAATTTCTGTTGCCAGATGAGTGAGATGGTTGTTAAGGGAGTTTTGCCCCATTTACAACCTTTCTAGCACAGTTGTTAAGTGAATCACTGCAGTTGTTAAGTTAGTAATGCAGTTGTAAAATGAATCTGCCTTCCCTATTCACTTTGATTGTTGGAAGGTCACAAAAGGTGTCACATAACCCTGAGATGCTGTAACTGTCATAAATACATGCCAATTGCCAAGCATCCGAATTTTGATCACATGACTGTGGAAAATGTCATAAGGCAAAATTGGTCATAATTTTTCAGTGGTGTTATAACTTTGAATGATCACTAAACAAATAGTTGTAAGTTGAGAACTATTTATATGCCACATTGCGCTTGAGTAGATAAAATTGCTATTTCATTTAAATTTGGAAAGAAATGTTGCTCTGGTTTTATCGCAAATGAATGTAATAGCAGACGCAACAGAAAATCTGTAGTGTGCTCCTTTGGGGCTGAACCAGAGACACATTTTTGTCAGTTTAAATTAACTGACAGCCCTTTCTATATTGTCGGATGTGCTGGTCTTTTGAAAGATTGCTGAACATGTATTTAATAACAGACTGGACGTATCTTCCAATGACCATTGAAGATAGAATAGGAAATTAATCAGTGGTGGGATTCAAGTAATTTAACAACTGGTTCGCCCTGCTCCACCCTGCCCCGCCCGGTTGGGTAGGTGTGGCTGAGGGTGTGTGTCATATGACTGAGTGGGCATGGCCAACTGGATGTCACTCACAGCAAGGTGGGGTGGCACAGGTGGACCAAAGCAACAGTGGCCAGAGCCTTAGTGCGGGAGCGAAGTGCTGGCTGGCCCCTCGCCTCATCCCTCCCTTCCCAGTCACTCCTTGCCTAAGAAGGTAAGGGTGACGGCGGGGAAGGGACACTTGCTCTGGGCGGGGCTGGAAATCTCCACTGTAGAGGATGGTACAAGAAGTAGTGCAAGGAGTAGTGCAGGCCCCCGCCGGCTGCAGCGAGGTAATCAGGCTATTGAGACAAGGTGGGGGGGCTCAGGCAGCCGAAGCAGCAGTGGCAATGGCCAGAGCCTTAGTGCAGGAGCGAAGCACCCCTGTACTTGCCTTGGTCGAAGCAACAGCATTCCACCTTTGTCGTGGTACATTTGCATTCAAGGCAGCCCTCCCCTCCCGCCGCTTCGTGCTCAGAGCTGTAAGCCACTTCTGAGTGGCACTACAGCATAGAGAAGTGGCCAGGGCTGCCTCATCTCTTGCTGGATCTCTCACTGCCAGACAGACTGCAGCAGAAAATGGTGGGCAGCTACTTCTGGCCTTTGTTGGTGCCTCGGTTGCTCAGGAGATGGGCAACCTGCTCTTCAGGCTCTTAGCTGTAAGCCGCATCCAAGAGAAGCAGCTTGAGCCTGAAGAGCAGGTCATGCATCTGGGAAGCTCTATGGTGCCTCATCCCTTGCTGGGTCTTGTGAGCACTTCTTCTGGCCCTTGTTGGTGCTGCATGCACCTCGATCACTTGGGGAGACGTTGGGTCGGGTGAATGGGCAGGCCATGAGGCAGCAGCTGTAGCAGCCGCAGCAGCTGCAGCCGTGGCAGGCCAGTGTCTCCCTGAGTGACCAAGGTACCAACAAAGACGGTAGGAGGTGGAGACCGAGAGAAATGGGAGGCTTTGGAGGTGAGCACCCTTCCCAGCCCCACTTCCCCAAGGGCCTCAAGGCTTCTACTGCTGGAGTGGGCAGGAGCAGGCCGAGGCAGCTGGGCGAGTCTAGTCTAGGCGAGCTAGGAGGAGTGGAGATCAGCGATGGAAGGCTGGTGAGGCAAAGAGCTGGGCTGTGGGTACTGCATGGTAGATCACAGCGAAGGCAGGCAAGAGGGTGGGCTGCAGGGCTGCATGGTCGAGGCAAGCGAGCGAGTGAGGGAGCTAGAGAGAAGCAGCAGCTATGCGGTGAGTGTGACTCTAGGCACCAGCCAAAGCGGGTGAGGCAAGATAAGGAATGGCTGGGAGGGGCGGGGCAGGGTGGAGCGGGGCGAACCAGTGGTGGAATCAGCTGGTTTGCTGAACTGCACAAAAAGTTAACAACCGGTTCTTCTGAACTGGTGCAAACCAGGTGAATCCCACCTCTGAAATTAAGGTACGGTAATTATAGGAAATTAAAAAAAAAAAAAAAAAAAAAAAAAAAAAAAAAAAGGCCCACAGAATTGCTTTACTACTATATGAAGTATATCTTCTCAGAGTAATTTTTCTCAACATTTAGACATATTAGAAAGTCATTAGGTTAGCTGCTAATTCTGGAGCAGCTAATTTGTATTTTTAAGTTCTAATCAAACAGGTATTTGGGAATGAAAACCCATTTTCATGACTCATCTGGGATTTGGGAAACTACTATATATGTTTTTTCATTATTTTTGTCTACCTCAAGATATTTTCCAAAATATCTCCCATAAACAATAAACCAACCCCTTTCCCCTTAAAGTTCTTTCCAAACTCATCTTTTCCAGGAAAATTCCAAAGTATATATAATTGACACAACTACATATTTATTTTTATTTACTAGGCCCCCATTTCCTCCCCATATTCTGCCATTTCCACAGAGTTGTCCACATTGTGGTCCCCTTGGTAGACATTAATATTTTATTTTTCTAAAATGGTATATATTTAGGCCTATGCAACTTATAACAGTAGCTCAAATTGTTATATTACTACAAAAAGCTGTACTTTTTCATTATTTACCAGACCAGCCTTTACTGATTGAAGACAGGTGGGAAGTGGCAGTTCTCTGTCCTCCATAGAAACCTGGCTTGCAAAGACAACTATATTTTCCAAGGATAAATCCATGGTTTTCCTGTGGGATACACTGAAAAGAGAAATCCACATTTGTAAAATCTCTTTCTCCCCTCCAAACTTTCCCAAAGTAAGTTGATTAGAGACAAGCTGTTTAAATGCTCATGGTTTGAATGGTTATGTTCTCCTGGCTCGTATTCTTTCAATCTAGTTCCTTGTTCATTTATAATCTCAGAATTACCCCTACCCCCCCAATTTCCGATATCATAAGCAAAGTTTTTAGGCTGTGTTCTGCATAACCCTTGGTTTCTGGAAAATTTGATTGGATTTCGTGAGAGATTAGGGACAAATGTTATCTTCCTTCCTTCCTTCCTTCCTTCCTTCCTTCCTTCCTTCCTTCCTTCCTTCCTTCCTTCCTTCGGCACTGCCTAAAAAACTTTAACTCTACTGCAATCAAGGCATTCTTAGAATTTTTTAATTGACAGTTTTAGCAGTCTGTTTAGCAAAAGTTTGAAAACTTTTGTCATAAGATGCTGTGAGAAGTTATACAAATTATGATTCAGTAATAGTATTGGACAAGCAAAGTCTGCCTTTGAATGAAAAGACTCCAAGGGAATATATTCACAGCTTTCTCAAGGACTTGGCTGCTCTCTGAAAACCTTAATAAAGAATCTACAACTTAAAGAAGGAATGTGAAGTCAAAAATCATTGGAAAAGACTCGCAATAACAAAAAAGGTTGACAGAGGACAAAGTGGCTAAATATTATCAGTGACGACTTTAAGTACGAGTTTAAAAGAATGTGAAGAGGCAGCTCTGACAGGGAACCTTGGTGAAATAATGTCCATTGGTGCATTGAGTCATTATGTTGCAGAGTATCCGGCAAGAGGCGAAGAATCAGATACCGACCAAAATTATTCTTTCAAGGAAAGTGACTGAGGAATGTCCTGTTTGACTTTGAGTAAGATTTAAGCCCTGATAGTAACCAATGTAGAAGGAAATCATTCTCATATGTCTTATTTATTTATTTATTTGTTTGTTTGTTTGTTTGTTTCAATTTGTATACCGCCCTTCTCCAATAGGACTCAGGGCGGTGAACAGCTAAAATAAAAAACAAAACATACAAAATTTAAAAACAGTTTAAAATAATTAAATATTAAAACAAACCCAATTTAAAATCAGTTAAAATTTAACCCAAAACTGTGGGATCAAGCCAGCCCGTAACATATCCATAACATATTCAAGCCAGTCAGTCAATAATCCAGTCAAATTTCCTTACGGGTTCCAGCACCACATTATCACATTAACTGTGTCAAGAGTCATCAATCTGAGTCATCAATCCCACCACTTTCTGTAGGAAGCCTTAATGACTGGAGCACTTGCACAAGAAGAGTGTTAGCAAGACTTCATTAGCTGTGGTGGCGCAATAATTATGCAGTTTTGCAGGCTAACTCTGCCCATAGGCAGGAGTTTGGTCCTCAGTGATTCAAGGTTGACTCAGCCTTCAATCCTTTGAGATCAGTAAAACGAGAACCCAGATTGTTGGGGGCAATATCCTGATATTTGTAAACTGCCCAGAGAGTACTTTAAAGCACTATGGAGAGGTATATAAGTCTAAGTGCTTTTGCTATAGCACCTTTCTTATTGCAAGCATGGTTGAATTTTACAGCCAATGAATTTGGAAGTACATGACTTTGAATTCCAGAGCTGCTCCAGACTCAATGCCACATGATGGCAAATTTAAATCTCTATGCACTATTGACCTTGGAGATCCCACAGCCACCCACTAGAGTTCAGGCAAGAATGTTGTTGTGTAACAGGGAACCCAATATTGCAACATAAATCCAAATGATCCCTAAAGCTCAGCTTCAGCCAGAGGATGTCATATCCACTTAATTGCAGTATAAGACCTCTCAAGGCCTTTAAGACTTCTCAGATAACATCCACCCCCATTTTTCGTAGGCTCATTATTGATGCTACATTTAAAACCCAGGTGGGCACACCTCTGAGAATGAAATACCCTACTTTGGTATCAATTCTCAATTATACCACTAGACCAGCCATTTTATCCAGAATGAGATTATGGATAAGGATTGCTTTGTTATAGACCAACCTGGCATTAAGTAACAGCAACCAGAGCCTGGGGCACCGAGGATCTGATAACTTGGCATTATAAGTGAATACAGGTGATTTAAGGTAAAATTGGTTTCAAGCATCAAGTTTATCTTCTGTGATATAGACCAACTCATGTTTCCCATCAAATCTTTTCCTGCCCATCACAATCTGGATGCCATTCCCTTTCCTCTCTCCTGTCACCCCCTGCCACCCACAGCCCAGAATTTAACCAACCAACTAGTCAGCCAAATAGATACACAATCAACCAACTACTTTCCTGCCAGAGCACATTCCAGTTATCAGCCATCCTGTCCAGAGGTGGGTTTCAGCAGGTTCTGACCAGTTCTGGAGAAGCAGTAGCAGAAATTTTGAGTAGTTCGGAGAATCAATAGTAAAAATCTGACTGGCCCTGCCCCCATCTATTCTCTGCCTCCCAAATCTGATCAGGAGGAAATGGGGATTTTGCAGTAACTTTCCCCTGGATTGGGAATGGAATGTATATTTTACAGTATCCTTCTCCTAGAGTGGGGTGGGAATGGAGATTTTACAATATCTTTCCCCTGCCATGCCCACCAAGCCACACCCACCAAACCATGCCACGCCCACCAAGCCACACCCACAGAACCGGTAGTAAAAGTTTTTGAAACCACCACTGATCCTGCCCCAAAAGCTTCTACTAGCCCACAGAGTACTTAAAAATTGTATCTTCTTTGCTGCCATCCAGGAGTGGGTTCTAAATTTTTTTACTACCGGTTCTGTGGGCGTGGCTTATTTTGTGGGTGTGGCTTGGAGGTCATGTGACTAGGTGGGTGTGGCTAGCTGGGCAGTCATTTCTGAAAGGTCCTCGACTTGCGACCAAGTCCTCGACTTACGACCCGACTCATTTGTTTGCTTTTAACACTGATCAGCTGTAGGACGGCCCTTTGAAGCCCTGCCGCAAGAGTTTAAACAGTTTTTTCCCTCTAGTCATCAACTGGGACTCAGGAGGCAGCAATAGATTGGGGGTGGGACCAAATAAAAGGTAAGAATAACGTTGGGGGGTGGGGGTGGGGGAGTGGGAGGGGGGGGGGAACCGGTTCGGTGACGTCATATCGTCACTGCTACCGGCTCTGCCGAACCGGACCGAACCGGGAGGAACCCATCACTGCTGCCATCTACCAAGATGATAACGTCCATCCCAAAACATCATCCAGTTTAAGGGTTCATTCCCACACAATGAGCAGACTGCATTCTCCTTCTTGGCACTTCTTCATGGCGTCCATTCTGTCCTTGTGTTCAACACCAATTCCTGCCTGGGGCATGTACCAACCTCTAGATTTCCTTCAACATTCTATGTAGCTGTTCCAACAAACTTCACACCAACATCAAGTATGCCCACTGGTAATAAACCCCAACTACCATGCTCACTGGTAGCAAACAGATTTCCTGGTTGTCACCCCAGTGTTCCCACTGTTTGCATAATAAATTTACTTCATCATTGATATAGGAAAGTATGTTATGCCCTTGTGGCCAAAGAGTGCATCAGTCTTGGTACCAAGTTGTCCTCTTGTCTATTTTGCAAATATTCTGTGGCAAAAATAGAATTTCACCAGGGATAGGTTCTATTTACCTTTACTACCAATTTGCAGTGGGGCTGTGCACTCGTGCTCACTTTACTTGTGTGCACGCGCTCTTCTGCGCATGCGCAGAAGCGTTTTGGTGACGCCAAAAACCTCCCGACAGTTTTACTACCGGTTCTATAGAACCGGTGCAAAGCAGGGGCAACCCACCACTGAATTTCACCCTGTGTCTTTATAAAAGATGCTTTCCTTTTTCAAAAACTATCAGAGAGTGTCAAAGAATTGGCCTCAGTTAGAAAGATTCTTCAATCAAAATCAATACAGTGGTAAAGAAATATAAGTAAGGAGAGTAGTAAAGAATCTTGATCCTTACTACCAACTTGTTAGCATTTGGGCAGCAGATATTACAAATTAATGCATTAATTATTTGTTTCAATGCTGTGGGAAAGCATATGTGAGATGTGCATAGGCAGACTTACACACACAAACTGTACACTTTTTATGTGCTAGCTGATGAAAAATTATATATTTTCCCTATTTTGGGATGACAGTTTTTGTTTTTGTTTTGTTTTTCATTTTAGTGATAGTAAGTAGCCATTTTGTACATCAATATTTCAGTGGGAGAGGAAACAGAGTTTAATCAAGAGATTCTCAATACTGTATATATTTAAAATAGAACACACATACACACACACACGTTTCCAGAGCCTCCTCAATATATATGTTTCATCACACCAGCCTTCCTTTAACAGGCATGAGTTTTGAGAGGAATCTAGAATTAGTTGATGACTTTCTGTCTGGAAGTGAGGTATTTTGCTCTGCACGATAAAAATAAATTCTGAGACTGTTAGCATCAAAACAGTAAGGCAGTCTCAATAACTTCTGAAATGCTTTTTCATGTCTTTTCTCTGTGGCATGTTTAAAAGATTAAGATGGAGATTCTATCGCTTACCCTGTCCTTTATTTGATCTCTTCTTATTTTATTGGATTAAATTAGGAGCAAGTATCTTGAGTTTTGTGTAAAGTACTCTTCATTTACTTCATTTCTCTAGCTGGCTCAACACAATTCCCTCCTCCTTCTCTGGACATCCATGGCTGAATATTTAAGCATTACGCTAACCAAATGTTGGATGACCAAATCCCCTTTTCCTAAAACCTAAATGGATCACTAATGCTGCAGAGTATACTAATCCCTTGAGAAGCAACTACACCCAAAAGAGTGTATACTATGAATACATACTGAATACTTAAAGGACCAGAAAACATGTTAAGCCACAGTCCGTATTGGGTCAAGAGTTTGCTTTTTTCCAATTATTTCACAGGAAGAAAATGTCTATGCAATGCATACTGATAGTTTAATGAAATCAGAATTCCACTGTTTTTACCTTTCTCAGCAGACAAATTGGAAGAAGCATAGAATAATAGGGCTAGAAAAGACCTTGGAGATCTTCTAGTCCAGTGATGGCTAACCCTTTTGCCATTGCGTGCCAAAAGCGGGGGGACTGCGGTCGAGTGTGCACGTGCCCACACCCATAATTCACTGTGCCCCATCCCCCCCATGCATGCATGTGCGACCCCCATGCACTCCCCCTGCTTTTGGCATGTGATGGCCCGGTGGGCCCGGTAGGCCTATTTTTTGCCCTCCCCAGGCTCCAGAGGCTTTCTAGGAACCTGGGGAGGGCGAAAATGGCTTCCCCACCCTCCCGGAGGCCAGAAGTGGCCCATTTCCTGATTTCTGGTGGGCCCGAAAGGCCCGAAAATCAGCTGGCTGGCGTACACATGCACGCTGAAGCTAAGCTAGGGCAACACTTGCGTGCCCACAGATATGGCTCCTCATGCCACCTATGGCACGGGTACCATAGGTTCGCCATCATAGTTCTAGTCCAACCCCCAAGGCAGAAGTCCTTATACTGTCCAATCTTTTCTTAAAAACTTTCAGTGATGGAGCACTCGCAAATCGTGGAGGCAAGCTGTTCGATTGATTAATTGTTCTTATTGTCAGGAATCTCCTTGTTTCTAGGTCGAATCTCCCTTGGACAAGCTTCCATCCATTACTCTCCATAGAAATATAGTATTTCTTTACATAAAGGCAACTTCTCTCCCTCTTTTCTTGTTTCATTTGAACAATTTATATCCTTTTAGCAGTATGTTCTAATCATGGATTCCATCCTACAAAATTTCAGTAGTAGCTACAATATCATGCTTGTGCTCATGTATTAGGATCTCGAGTTCTCCCTGTTTGTTCCCCACACATTGAGCACTAGTGTATAGACATCTGAGCCAGGAGTGGATTCTAAATTTTTTTACTACCGGTTCTGTGGGCGTGGCTTATTATGTGGGCGTGGCTTGATGGTCATGTGACAATTATTTAGGATTTAGCAGAGGTACTGGTCTACCAGGCTTTTAACTGCTTGCAGAGCTGTACCGATCTACCCATTTATTTTTGCAGGCATTGGTCTACCCATTTATTTTTGCAGGCACTGGTCTACTCATGTATTTTTGCAGGCACTGATTTACCCATGTATTTTTGCAGGCACTGGTCTACTCATGTATTTTTGCAGGCACTGGTCTACCCATTTATTTTGGCAGGCACTGGTCTATTCATTTGTTTTCTTTTAACACTGATCAGCTGTAGGGCGGCTCTTTGAAGCCCCGTGGCAAGAGTTTAAACAGTTTTTTTCCTTCTAGCCATCAGTTGGGACTCAGGAGGCAGCAATAGATTGGGGGTGGGACCAAATAAAAGGTAAGAATAACGTGGGGGGTGGGGGGTGGGGGGGCACCGGGGGTGGGGGGGGGCGGGGGGCTAGAACCAGTTTGGTGATATCATATTGTCACCGCTACTAGCTTGGCCGAACCGGGCCGAACCGGGAAGAACCCACCACTGATCTGAGCCCTTTATGACTGACCCAGTGGTGGGATTCAGCCAGTTCGGGATAACCGGTTAACTTTCTGAGCAGTTTGGCAAACTGGTTGTTGAAAGAAATCATTAGGGCAGAGAACCAGTTGTTAAATTACTTGAATCCCACCACTGGACTGACCCTGTGTTTGCTTCCTGCATCTTCTGTTATATGCCTGAGTGTCCCTTCCTTCTCACCACCTCCTTCCTCATTTTCTGATCTGTTGTCTTGGGTTTGTCTTGGGTTTGGTCCTAAAAATTGGTCTCATTCCCCCTCCAGTTTTAGTTTAAAGATCTATGGCTGAACTGAGCTAGCTGTTTTCCAAACACATTCTTCCCAGTCTTTGGGAGGTGCAGAAGCCCTTCTTGTAGGTAAAGTAAACCAGAAATCCAAAGTTCTCTTGATGGCAGCATTTACTGAGCCAGCAAGGACTTATACTTCTTTAAATATAATACTTTTATAGATGTAAAATTAGGGTTAATTTGAGAAGAAACGTTCCTTAGTAAGACAGTGTTATGCAACTTCAGCAACTTTAAGATGCATGGATTTCTGGTTCCCAGAATTTCCCACCCAGCGTAAGTGGATTTCATAACACTCATGTTAAAGTTGCTAAGATTATGAAACACTGGACTAAGACACTGTTCTGCTTCTTTTTATGAATTCAATTAATTCTGTCCTGTCGACTTTGAAGAGAGCACCTTCTTGATGGCTACTCTTATCAGATATATATTGGTGGTCGTGCTCATTTGGTTCTATGAGGAAGTTATTTAGTCAATACAGCTTCAGGTTCAAAAGGTTGTTTTTATTATTTACAAATATATACATGCATATGATAATGAACAGGGTGTCCTGTTACATTTTTACCCTAACTGTATGACTCAGATGTTGAGAGGAGAGAGAAGTTCACGTGTTGTCTCGCTGAGAGATAGATGAGAGAGAGAGAGAAAAAAAGGGGAAGATATCCAAGTGGTTTCTAGGTAAGAGTCCAATAAGAGAGTTCATTGGCTGATATAGTCACATGTGATGTCTGTAAAGACTTAACCCTTTCTAGTCTCTGGTGGCATCATATGCAGGCAATATCTGATAACTCTATATATTTGCTCATTACATTCATGCATTTTAGATCATTAAGAGTCAGATTAACCTTAATGAGTGAATTTCTTAAAGCAACTACAAATTTTTTTCAAACTCCCTTGGAAACTTGAGAAATGGCATGGTTCCTTAATAAATAGCAGACAACTGTGTAGTATTTCAAATATTACAGGATGCAAACTTAGAGGGCAGGAACAGTCACGGTGTGTTTTTAGTGAGTTGAAGGAAAGCACAACAACCATTCTTCCTCCTTCTCGAAAGCACCACATAAACCCATGGAAAAATAATGAAATCCCTGCAGTGGAGGAATGGATTGTGAAAATGTCATAGTTCTTACAAATGGCAAAACTGACCAGCCTAGTCAGAGGGTGAGGTGGGGTGGGGGAAGAAACACAACAAAAAGTTTTCTGAAAGACTAGAAGCCTTATGCAGTATGGATTTTTTGTTGAAAGAAGAAAGAAATGACATGATGATTTATGGGCTTGAAGATTTAGGAAGATGTAGATTAAGTGAGAGGCTGAAAGGATTTGTGTAATATCTAAGAGGGAGGAAGGATTATAAATTTATAACTATCTGTTGAAAAGAAGATTGCAAATCATAACATTTCTTTACATTTTTCATTCTTTTTTGTTTCTTGCACCATTTTCTTTGTTTATTTTCTTTCCCCCCCCCTTCAGATTTATATATATCTTTATCTCTCTCTCTCTCTCTCTCAAGGAATAGATAGAGATAGAGTTAGAGATAGAAATATTCCTCAAATTAAGAGTTGTCACTTAGTGACTATTCAACATTATAATGGACCCTCCATTGTAGCCTAAAAGCTACTTACAACCCAGTGTTACAGTGTACAACCCCATCAATCATAAGAATGGATTTTGAGTGCTCAGCAACTACCCCACATTTATGGAAGCTTGCAGCATCCCACAGTCACATGATGACCTGCTTTATGATAATCATGACTTATGACTGTAATTGCCAGGCTCAACTATCATCATATGTCGAGGACTACCTGTAAAACAACAACAACAATACACTATATAAGCCCAGCAGTTAAGAACTGGTCCTGTGTTCATCTGGAGTTCAAAGTACTTTTTCTGAATTATTTTCAAAGCATACATAGCTCTATTACAACATAATTCTAAATAAGAATATTAGATGGGATGGGGAACACCTGTCCTCCAGATGCTGCTAAAATGAAACTGGCCATCCCTCAACCTTATGGCCATTTCCTGGGGCAACTGAAAAGTGTAGTTCAGTAACATCTGGAAGACACACTTTTTCCACCACCAATATAGTGGTGTACATATAGAGGGATGTCTGGAAAAATAGTTCCAGAGGATTGGCACAATAATAGGGAAGACCCTACAGTTCACAGTCTGACATGATAGTATAGCTGGGAGCAAGCTCCAAAGCTCTCCTTACCTGGGTGCTGTTGAGATCACACTGATGTGAGTTTGCAAACCATCCTCCGTTAGTGGCACACTGGTTTATATCAACATTTTGGATTTTAACATCCAGCCTCATGACCCCTCTGGAACAAATAAGGTGATGATTTTAGCATGTATTAGGAGAGAAGGAATTCAACAGTTCTAATACTTGATTATATGGAATCATATAATCACTGCAGATGACATTGCCATTGGCTGGAATGTATTAAGAATTGCTCTGATGAACAATCCATGTGTACGAGCAAAATAATATCCTATCTGAGAGGTAGCAGAAATATGAGAAGACAAAGAGAAGGGACTGAAACATTTACTGAATGGGGAAGCATGGAATTGATCCTAACTATATACAGTACATCTTTAATATGCTGCTGCTTTAAATTAAAAAAGTGAAGTTAATACACAGAATTTGGGATGGAGCTTCACTAGCCCTTGGATTATGTAATTTAGGATTTGCATCAATTATTCCCATGATCACCAAGTAAGTATGTTCCAGCTCTTTAGAGGGAAAAATCACTCTGACACAGAAAAAGTTGACAACTTTATATTAGCAACTTGGTTTCCTTCCTTGCCCTCTCCCTGCCTTCAGATTCTTTCTTTGCATCATATCAGGGCATAGCAGCTTCACTGATGCACAGGAATAAGACCTTCCGCAAAACAGAAAGTGAAAGCACAAAAGTACAAGATACTCTTAGCTAAAGAGTGACTAACCACAGAAAGTAGAATGGCAGTACAGTATAGTAGGTGCATTCTTTCACAGTGGCCTATTGCATCATGCAAAGATGTTTAAAGGGTTCATATGTTGTGAAGCTATAATGTGTTTTTCTAACAGATTAACTCTGTAATTTGTATATTCTGAATAGTGATTTAATAAACTGTTGGGAACCTTGGCAACTGTTTTATATTCAATCAAATTGGTTCTGTTATTTGTATGAACTTGTGTGATCTCAAAAAGCAACAATTCATCAAAGGCCAATTTGTATATTAAATGATCTTATGACAAGTTTATGATTAGGATCACATTTCATATCAAACAATGATATGAAATCATATCAAACAAAGCCGCCCTGAGTCTCCAGAGAAAGGTGGCATATAAATTGAACTAAATAAAATAAATTTAACTATGGATTGTTCATAAACCATAATTGGCTGGGTTCATATAGCAATAGTAATAGCATGTATACTTATATACTACCCACAGTGCTTTCTTCACTCTCTGGGAAATTTATAGTGTCAACATAGTGCTCCCAACAATTTGGCCCCTCATTTTACCGACCTCAGAAGACTGGAAGGCTAAGTCAACCTTGAGCCCTATCAGGATCAAACTCCAGGCTGTGGGCAGTTTGCCTTCAATACTGTATTCTAGCCACTGTGCCACCATATATTATATTAGGCCACTTAAAGCTACAATGATTGCTTCATTGTACTAATACTAAGCCAGTATTAGTACATTGTACAATATACTAAGCCCTACATTAAGGTTGACACATTATAGTGGATAGCAGAGGAGATGTCCACTCTACTATCTCTATTATTTGTGGTACTGTAGGGACCAGACTCTCTCCTCTCCTTTTTAACATGTACATATAGCTGCTGGGTGAAGTCATCTGTTAGTATGAAGTGAGATTTCATCAGTAGGTTGATGATACCTATTTATGTATCTCTAACAGGTGCTGTCTGAGTGATGCTGTAGAGTCCTGCCTTGGTGTCTGAAGGCTCACAGGAAGTTTGGAAGGGGAACAATAGACTTCAGTTCAAACCCAAATGACTTTGGGTTTTAAGACCTCCTGATTTTGAGGACTTTCCATCTGTCATTTTGGATAGGATTGCATTGCTCCTGACAGATCATGTACACAATCTGGAGTTCTTCTGGGTTCACAAATACTCGTTGAAGAGCAGGTGACAGTGTATCAATTGTGCCTTTCCTGCACTGGAAGGCACTGCTCAAAGTCACTCATGCCCTAGTCACCTCTTGTTTGAATTAGTGCTACATGTTCTACATGGGGCTGCCCTTGAAGAGTATTTGGAAGTTTTATTTGGGGTAAAGCGACACCTCTTTCCATGAACTGCACTGGTTAGTATAAAGCTTCCAGGTACAATGCAGGGTGCTGGTAATTGCTTTAAAGCCCTTTATGATCTGAAATTAGGTTGTTTCTGGAAACCTCTCCCCCCAGTTGGATTTACCTTTCCTATTAGATTTGGCAGAAGAGACATGCTCTGAATCCTATCTCTGGTGGGACTCAGGAAAGAGCCTTTTCTGTCATACAGCTATGAGACATGATTCTTCCCAAGAGATCAGATTTGCTTTTCATCAGTCTTTGAAGGTCTGGTTTTGCTATCAAGCCTGGGTCCTGATACTATGGGTATGTCTATTTCTTAGCTCTTGTAACCTACACCTGGATGTTTGTTAGGCTACTTTATTTTATTTGTAGTTTTATTTAATTGTTTACATTATGTTTTTAACTGTTAATTCCCAAACTCTTCAACAAAGATGGATGGCTGTAATTTAATAAACATGTAAGTTAAAACTCAGCCAACCTCATTGACTCTGTATAGCAATCCGGCTGTATTTATAAAACATGTTTACTTGTACTACCATAATTATAGTTCGCTCAAATGGGAGGGGGGAAAATCATATGTTGTAATGAATTTCAATCTTACTATAGAGGCTCAAATTATTCAAATTATGCTTACATGCATTACAGAGTGTCCTTGGATTATGATCACTCATTCAGCAACTATTTAAATTTACAACAGCGTTAAACAAGTTCTGGCCATTGCGGCATCCCCATGGTCATGTGATTGTGATCAAGATGCTTAGCATGCAGTTCACAAATATGATGTCACAGCAAGCCACAGTCAAATGATTGCAATTGTCAACTTCCCCTGCTGGCTTCCCACAAGCAAAGTCAGTGGGGAAGCTGGCAGGAATTCAAAAGTCAGACAGCACATACAGAGTCCTTACTAAGCAGAGCAGTCATATGACTTCATCCTTTATGACTGTGTCACTTAGTGACAACAATTTCAGGTAAAATTATTGTAGTAAATCAAGGCCTACCTGCATTTAATTAGTAATTCAATATGAAATACAAATTCTCCCTTTGAATCATAAAATGAGCAAACAGATTTTAGCCTACAGCATGTTGTATAGATCAGTCCATGACATATGTCTCTGGTTTGCTGTGTTATGTAAACTTATGTAATTGCATTAGAGTAACTGTATAAATCGTACTTGTACCAATAGGTAAATGTATAAAAACGCAACCAATATGTTTTTCTGAAGACAATTCATTATAACTGCATTATTAGTAGTATTATTGTTGCTTTGTTACATCCTGTCTTTCCAAATACAAATCTATCAAAACTGTTTAGGATTGCATCAATAATCTTAAACTAAAAATACATTTTTAAATAAAGTAACAATTAAAACAAAAGCAGGAATCCTTCTCATAGGAGAGTTGATAGAAATAAAATTCAGAATACCTTTTCCTGAGGTCTTTGCCTTCCTTATTCTCTCTTCTCATTTTGTTACTATAAGATCAATCCTGAATAAAGGATCTAAAAATATATTATTTCATAAATAAAAGTCTCCCCACCATCTGCTTCACTGGGCTCTTAAATTCATGGGATAAGTGGAGAAGAAATTGTTTTTAGCATTTGCCTATTTTTGGCATGAGATGGTCAGGGCTGGTATGATTTGTAGAGATCTTTTCAACCCTGCCTAATTTGTAAATTACACGCATGACCACCAGAATGCAGCAGGTCTAACATATCAACTCCTGTTTATTTTAAATCTAGGATTAACCTGCTGATCATCCCAAAGATGATCAAATTAATCATCCCACTAGCACCTTATTGCCTGTCATTGCACAGTTGTGCATTTTCTAATTTATTTATTGAACAAACAACACAGTCTGTAAAGGCTCAGGATGGCAGAGTTAATACACTTTCTCCTGACCCTGTTTCTCAAAACAAAGCCTGATTACAAACATTTCATTGAATATAATAGCTCAGCTTCCCTGTTTTCCTGGAAGAATAATGTCTGCTTAACCATCTATTATCCTTGAATGTGGCATGCCATTGTATGATTAGATTAACTAGTCTAAAGCAGTCACAGCTACAGATCATGATTATGGGACTCATGGATCTGAAAAACATGGTAAGCCAACCTACAACATGAATTAATGTCACATTGAAGTAGTCAGTGTTTGAGAGATAGATAGATAGATAGGTAGACAGATAGATAGACAGACAGACAGACAGACAGACAGACAGACAGACAGATAAGTAGATGATAGGTAGACTGAATTATATACATATAAACAACAAGCTTTTCCAAAAAATAAGGAATTTCTATTGTACTTTTAATAAGTTTATCTGAATTTGAATTATTTGATAAGAAGGAGCATTTGCAGCTTTGTAATATCTTGGGGGTTGCAAAAAATCACATGAATATGTTAGAAAGCAGCAAAGTATCATAGGTGCTGTGTGTCTCTGGTGTTGTCTATTGATCATCCGGATTTTACAGCCCAAATATTGTAGCCCTATTCATACCGTTAGAATATCTACCTCAATATTAATTATATTTGTAATGACATATTGAATCTTCAACTAGCTAAACAGATTCTATTACAATGTCCTAATCCAGCCACTATGTTTAGTGTATAATTCAGAATGCTTTCTGAATCTACAAAATAAAGTTAATTGAATAAACTGCAGTTCAATTCACCACGACAATGTGATCTACATTTAGGATATTTTTCATCCAAATATATTTTCTCCCTCAGAACAACCGTACGGCACTTTGGTGGAATCAACACCTGTTTTTCCCACAATATCCTGAAAGGAAGCTACTTTGGGATATTAGGAGAAATTAATAAATAACTGTAATTCAAGCCATGGGCAGTTATTTAAAGTGTCCAGCTGAAAACTATCTTTTAATAGATATTTACAGAAGACATTAGCAGTTATCTTTGCTGAACCATTGGCAGCCATTTGAATATGTTAGTTGTTAGTGCAAGGCAGGTGCCAGAATTAAACTATAGCTAACCCTACAGATTGTGATTGTAGACTTGAGCGGATCAGTCGCAAAGTAGGGACATTTGTGCAGGCTGTGAGATTACATCAGATAGGCCATGGTAGCATTCTGTAATGAAAATCAACCCTTCAAAATAAGATCTGCTTAGACTTCTAAATAGCCTTTCTGGACTGTTTCCAATTGATTGGCAGAATCAGAAGAAATTTAGTTCTTATTTATGTGAAAGATATAACACATCTTTTTTTTTTAACCTAAAGTAGCTTTGGAATATCCCCTTTAATTCTGAATCATGTACAGATTTTTTCATATGTACAAAAACTCTTCTTAAAAGGTAGCATATGCTGTAGACAATAGGGTATGTTTCCTCAAGTTGCAAGGAGTTGCAAACAAGGAGAATATTCCACAGCAAAGAAGATAGAGAGAGGAGGAGAGGGTAGAAAGAGGAGAGGGAGGGAGAGGAATGGAAGAAAGGGAAAAGGAGAGGAAGGAAGGGTAGGGGACAGGAGTAGGAGAGAAGGTGAGAAGGGGGAAAAGAAGAGAGGAGTGGGGGAAAGGAAGGGGAAGTAGGATGAGGTAGGAGAGGAGAGGAGAGGAGAGAGGGAAGGGGAAGAGGAGGAGAAGAAGAAGGTTTGTTGCGAAATGAGGGAAGAAAGGGTAGAAGAGCAACCCAGAATAAAATTAAAATGCCTTATTTTAATGCTTTCTTTAAGGAAAACATGTATATATGTATGATTAATTATGTATAAGAAAATGTACATTTTATATTATGTGTATAAGAAATAAAACTGAAAAACTTTTTTTTTTAAAAAAAGGGTGTGTTTCCTCAGCACATCATCTTCACTATCCTTTGACAGCCACTTATAATTTATTTTTTGTATATAACAATTCAGAATTTAGCATTCCACACTGAATTGGTGGTTTTTAAGATACTTACTATTGAGATTGTGGACTTGGGACATTTTAAATTTTCTTCCTTGACCTCCCCCATATATAATTAAAAAGAACTGCTTTTGGTGAATCAGCCAATGATAGACACCACTTAAGTCTATTGTGTGAATTTACCTTAGTTCAAATCCAGTCAAGTAGTTGTTGGTAAATTATGGGGTTAATAATGCAAATAGATTTATCAGACTTAATAGATTTAAGAAGATCAGATTTGTAAAGAATAATGAAGTAATAACAAAGTAGACTTATTACTCCTAAAATCTCTTCTAGGTAAGCAGTAAAGAAAGTGATATAAATACTGAAAATGTTTTCCCCTTTGTTAATTGCAAATTACCACTAGAATATAAGTAAATAGAAACTTCTGTAGAATAGTACCTTGTGTGTGGGTAGAAAAAGATATAAGTAGCCTCTGAAATCTTTTCTGATGAATACTACAGCCCATTCCATTTCTCTTACATTCAGACTCTTCTTCTAGATAAGACTTTTGTTTTTTCAGCTAAGCTCTAGAGTCTTATTTAAGACCCCATCTTGTAAAGTACTTAACAACATACTTATTTAATATCAAAATTTAATATCGGTATAATTTTTAATATTCTTTAAAATAAAGAATAAGTGCTAAAATTGAATGGAAGATATTTTCTCTTCCTTCCAGGCCAGCCTCGTAATCTGGGTGTGATGGATAGACTGAGATTCCAGACATTAAGACATTTGTTAGGAATTTATCCCAGAATATGGATAAATTAAAAGCTGCCTTTGAATGTACAGTGAATGCTTTCTCATTATGTTTAAGTATAACTCGTTATTGCAACTAGGTGTTAAGACATCATAGTTCAGCTTCCCCCCTAGAAAAGTTGAACATATCCTTTCTATTTTAGAGATTATCCTGAACTAGGATATTTGCCAAAAGGCAAGCAACAGTTATTTAACCATGAAAACAAAGTACTTTACACATGCTTAGATAAATATATGTCATTGTTATTACTATTCTTATTTTTAATAGCAGGTTTGAGATAGAGTTTAATTTTTTTTAACTTTGCAATATATTTGTAAGCAGCTATTTGCAAATCCTGATGAGCTTCTCAATAGAATATTCATTTTAGCAATAAATAGTGATGAATGCATTTAGTTCCTATGCATGATGGTAATAGTAAATTTCAGTCCCACCAAGAAGAGCATTGGATAACTTTCTCTCCACATTCTCCATCTAGCTTCTTCCCTCCCCAGTTCCCTAACAACTGTTTATATTATTCTAATGTGAGAAGAACCAATGGTGGATCTCTTCTATCCTATGTGGTTTGGATCAAAATCTCACCCCTTTATCACTATCCTCTTCCACTCACTTGAATTCTGGATTGAGGTCAGGCTTGAGGCCGTAGAATGAAGAGGAGAGTGTAACCATCCAGGTGGGCAAGAATTTTCCATCTTCACATTCCAGGAAAGGTGGGGACCATTTGATATAGCCCTGATCCATCACATAACTATCTCCTTGGCTCCATTTGGGGGTGTCTAGTGTCTTAAGGTCATTGCTGAGAATCCTCTTATAAAGCGGTGGAGTCCGTTGGAACCTAAAGAAATTGTACCACTCATTTTCCCAAGTCAGATTCCTTAGATTTTCTGAAAAGGCAGAAAGATCTTGAAGTAAGATCTCATTATTCCCCTTTGTGGCTTGAAGTATCAACTGGGGCTTGGAAGACAAAGGATGAGCATCAAAAGTCAATATGGCTCGGTAAACTTGAGAATCCCCTTCTATAACACTTCTCACCAAGGCATGGTACCATTCTACATCCTCTTTCACACTGGATTCCCGAATGTCATTAGTCTGAAAGACCATATTGAGGAAATTGGTGGCATGGGTCAAGGTGTCAGTAGCACTGCGTAAATAGGAATATAAGGCTGGTGGAGGGCGAGAATCCTTCACTAAAGCCCTCATTTCAAATCTCTGGGTACAGTTGGCTTGTGAGAGGCTCAAGGTATCTCCAGAGTACAGGAAGGCCATTGCTGCCTCTGATCCCTCAGGTTCAGCCTTATCCAAATTAAGGGTAGGCACCCAAGTGAAAGCTGAAACCAAAAAAGATGAAGATGAAGGTATCCACTCTTTCGTTTTGGGTGTCCTGGTTTTGGGTGGAGCTGGTTGCTGTTGTTGTTGGAAGATTTCGGCTGCTTGTAGGAGTTTGAGATAGAAGCACCAAATAAGAAGTCCCAGAAGAGAAGTCTCCATGGTTTAGCAAAAGGTGTGAAAAATACCTGTGTCATCCAGTTGAAATCATTTCAACCATGGAAAAGCCCTCTTGAGAACTCCTGATGTATCTGATGGGAATGTCGAGATGATCAGAAAGTAGAGGAGTAAAGCCATGAGAAGCGAAGAAGGAGCCAGTCAATCTGTAAAATGAATGTCCCCAGAGAACAGTGTCACACTTGCTGAATAGTATCCTGCCTCCTTTTATAATTTACAGGAGTTTCTCATTGTCTCCCACCCTCTATTTTTTGCTGTCCCTTATATCTTCCTTCCCTGACTGGTGATGGAGCAGACGTCACCACAATATGAGCAGCTGCTGGCACTTCCCCCCTCTCCTTTCCCTCCCTGACTACTATTATATGCATAGGATTTTAAATCTCTGCAGATCCACACACACATCCACATCCACAAACATACTAAGAGCTCAGTCAACAGCCTTATTTGCTAATGCTTGAAATGGAAACATCCTGTTTCAGGCCAGAAAGAGAGAAAGGGAGGGAGGGAGTGAAAGATGGGAAGAGAATAGAATCTGTCTCCCAGTCTATCTCTATCTCACTTTACTTCCATTAGGGAATCTGAGTCTGACAGTAATACAAGCAACCAAATTCTGCATGGAGTACCATGGCAACAGGAAATTTGTCTTCCCACCTCACCCTTCCCTTCCCTTCCTCTCCTTCCCCTCCTTTATTCCCCCCCTTCCATTCATCAGCTTGACTAACACCATGATATTCATTTATAAGGTCACCTACTGCCTACTGATGTTCCTATAATGCTGCTAAATTTAATTAACTGTTTAGGGACAAGGAATGTGGCAGAGAACAGGAGGAAGAGAAGGGAACAAGGACTATTGTTAACTACATGCTGAAATAATTCAAGAATGTAGACAGAAAATGAAGAGTGAAAAGAGCAATTCCAATGAGTATGATACAGAAAAATTAAGACTACAGTAGTCTATATCAGAATTCATCCTACAGAAACTTCCTAGTGCATAGTTTTGGATCAATTCACTTTTGGACTCATCAAAAGCAATAGACAGGCAGACAGACAGACAGACAGACAGACAATAGATAGATAGATAGTTAGATAGATAGATGATAGATAGATAGATAGATAGATAGATAGATAGATAGATAGATAGATGGAGAAATAAAAATGACTACCACTGTATATATATATGGTTAATTTTCCATAGTACCGTATTTTCCGGCGTATAAGACGACTGGACGTATAAGACGACCCCCGAATTTTCCTGTTAAAATATAGGGTTTGGGCTATACTCGCCATATAAGACTACCCCTCTTCCAACGCACACCAAATAAAAATTAAAAAATGTAATCATATTGTATTTTCCTTCACTCTTGTGACACGAAACTTGTACTTAATTGTACATTATTGGAGCAGTGTTTTGTTTTACTGTTTTTCATATGATTTTTAAAATTTGGAGTCAATGTACTTTAGAGCTGTATTTATTGGCACGTTACAATTGCTATAATTGATTAAAGTTATTTATTTTATTTTATTAAATAATTCATTTAATAACTGAAAAAATGAAATAGTACTAATTCATAAAATAGCTGTTGGAATACAATTCAAACGTCTTGTAAATTAACCTCTATCAAAACACAAATAACATTGCTGACTCTACTTCAATGGCTGTCGTCATATATGAGTAGTTGGCTGCCAATGAGGGAAGACAAGTTTTACCAGAGCAATAGCAGTCTGAAGTTTTGAACTTTAAAATCTAAGTGGTCCTAAATGGCTTAGATCCTGCCTATCTGAGGGACTGCTTCTTCCATTATGAATTATGCAGCAACTGAGATCTGCAGGAGAAGTCCTTTTGAAGATGCTGCTCTGGATCAGAGAGTCACTTCTGGCACGTATGGGAGGACTTTCTCATTCTTCATTCAGTGCGAGGTACTTCCCAAGGCACTGTTTGATCTTATTCTCTCAGCACTTCGAAGAATTGTAAAGACTAGATTCCTTTTTGCAAGGCTTTTAATGGTAAATCCACTTATTTACTTATTTTTACAAATTTGGTATTTTTCCTACTCCGCATTTTAATTAGTAATGATTGCCTTGAGGCCTTGCTTGAATGGAAAGATAGGTTGTAAATCAAATAAACAAATGAGCAAACACTGCCTACATCATAAGAGTAGGATTAAGGGCAAAGAATTTGGCAGCACTGAGTGGCAACAGAGAAACATACAAAGCAAATGGCTCAGACATGGAACAGTCAAGAAATACCCCAGAGACTAGCAATTAGTAGAGCAGCTGTGAAGGCCTTGGAAAAGATAATTCAGATGCTGTGATGTGTCTAAACATACAAAAAATAGTGCAAGCAATGGAATTCCGTGTAATACTCTATTGAAGTGAAACCTGGACTTTGAAAAAGTAGGATAGGAAGAATGTTGATAGGTCTGGACTCCCAAGGATACCATGGACAGCCAAGAAAACAAACAAATGGATCATTGAACAAATCACCCCATATTTTTAATTTGAAACACAAATGAGCAGGCTCAAATTAGCCTACTTTGGACAGATTATACAAAGACCTAGCTCTCTGAAGAAGGGTCTAATGCTGGGACAGATGGAAGGCAAGACTAGAAGAAAATAACCACCAGCAGGGTAGATCGACTCAGTTATATCAGCAATGAGTACACCACTGGAAGATCTGAAGGGCCAGATCGGGGACAGATTGTCATGGGAAAAAATCTATCTGTGTGATCACTAAAGTCCACACCAACTTGATGGCACATAATCAATGAATGGATGAATGAATAAAAGGCTGTAACAAAGAGGATAAAATTGAAATCTCATTGAGCATGACAAGGGCATGTATCTTGATCCAGAATGGTCTTTTGAATTCCCCACATTGCTGCTAGGTTTATTTATTTTGTAGGCTGTGATTACATAACATGGTAAATTGTAAAGCTCTGTTAATGACTACAAATGTCACCAGGTTACTTCCCATCATGCATAGCTCTTTAAATAAGATCTGCTGTTACTGTGTTGTGTACACCTAAAATGAATACCATTTTGGAGAACTAGAAATTAGACATTGTTACTCTATAACAGACCTTAGAGGCAAATGCTTCCAGACCTCCAAGATGGACATATAACCGGTTAATTTAAGTATGTTATTCTTCTAGATCAACTCAAAGGATTGCGGTTGGATAGCACAGTGTTGTGCTGGTTCACTTCCCTTTCCCGATATTAATTCCAGTCAGTGGTGATTGGGGAGGAGAGATTCTACCCTCAATCCCTTTTATATGGGATGCCTCAGAGTTCAGTGCTCTTCTCTCTCTTATTTAACATCTAATGAAATTGTGAGTGAGCTCATTGATCAGACGGGATTAAGTATCATCAGTATGCTGATAATATCCAATTGTACAAACTTTGCCCCTGGGGAATGCTGTGGAAGTCCTCTCCCAGTGCTTGGAGGCTGTGAGAGTCTGAATGGGGGACAACAGACTTCAACAGAATCCTGGAGAGACTGTGACTTTATGTTTGGGGGCCCTTTAGAATCATGCTTTCTGCTCAAGGAACAGGTGATAATCATGGCTAGGAGGATCTTTGCACAATTTTGACCTGTGCAACAGGTGCACCTCTTCCTGGATCAAGAGCCCTACTCACTCATACCCTGGTCACTCATACCCTGGTCACCTCCTGGTTAGACTATCACAATGTGCTTTACATGGGGCTATCCATGAGGAGTATATGAAAACTTCAGTTATGCGTGTCTCAGATGGAATACATTTTCCTATGTGAGCTGCATATTTGTTTCTGGGTACAATTCTGGGTACAATTCAAGGTACTGGTGTTGATTTTTAAAATCCTACATGGCATGCAATTGGATTATTTGAGGAACTGCCTCTTCCCAATTTCATCTGCCCTTCCCACCAGATCCAATAGAATGGGCATGTTATGGCTTCCATCCTCTAGGCTAGAGGTCTTCAAACATGGCAGCTTTAAGACTTGTGGATTTCAACTCTCAGCTATGCTGGCTGGAGAATTCTAGGAGTTGAACTCCACAAGCCTTAAAGTTGCCATGTTTGAAGACCTCTGCTCTAGGGAATTTGCCCTAGGTGGCAGGTCTTTTCTGTCATGTTGCCTGCACTATGAAATCTTCTCACTTCAGAGATGAGATGGGCCTCATCACTCCTGAGATTTCAAAAGTCCCTCAAGACTTGGTTATGCCAGCAGGCCTGGGAACTTCAAGGAATAAATTAATCAGTAAGGGGTCTCTCTTACAGTTAATATTAATCTGCCTATCAGTTTCTTTTTTCTTAGTTTTGTTTTTAATGTTTTTAATACTGTTTAATAATTATAGTATATTGGCTTTAGATAATGAATGTTTTATATTTCTATATTTCTATCTTTATTTATTGGATTGTTATATGCTGTTCAGAGTCATTTTCTGTTAGATGAGCAGCCATATAATTTTGATAACCAAATAACTAACTAAATATTGAACTTACAGCTTTGCTCCCTATAGCTATAGCTCTAACTTATAGTAAAAATGGCTAATAGAAAAAAGAGATAAGGGCAGGAGGCATCATCTCTAAGGCAATTGAAAGTTTCGCTTTTTCTGTTTAACCGTCAGTATCTCTCTTAAAGCTTATCTCCAGATTTATCCAAACATTCTGATCTCGGAAAATGAACTGCATTTAGTGAAATCTATCCCATTAACCTGAGACAGCTGCAGAACTAGTGGGCTAGGATTATTGCCTTCTCATCTGCAGTTACATTTCTACCGTATTATACAAAGATTAATCATAATTATGCTAGGTATTATACTGTTTACCCAAAAGCTACATGCTTCTGGCTTCCATTTGCAAAACAAAAACTTATACGCACATCTCATCACATTACTCCTGTTTCCAGTGTGCATGAGAACTGTCACAAATTACCATTTATCACTTGATATGTGCTTTGGATGAGAATTACATTATCAAATTCCATTGCTTCTTGTTAAAAGCATATTACACTTCAACTAAGTGTCAAACTCCAGTCAGAAGGAAAGTGTTATCATAGAAATATTAAAATGCTTAGATTGGTGTTTGAATGAATGTGTTAGAAAGAAAAATGTATAATAATAGCTTATATCATACATTAGTAGGTTCACACTATCTACTATGCATTACTGCAGTAATCCTTATAACAACTGCCACAAGGTTCGGGCTTAGGCCCAGTACTCTTCAATATCTTCATAAACGATTTAGATGAGGGAATAGAAGGGGAACTCACCAAATTTGCAG